ACCAAAGTCCAAATTCGAATATATTGCTCCGAAGCTATCGAAAATCAACTTCGACGATATATACGAGATAAAAGAAAAATTCAATGAACTATCACCGATCAAAGAAGACGAAGAAAGAACCTATCAACCAGTCATCTTCGATATTGCGATTATTTTCATTTGTCTAATAATTGCAATATACCTAGTGTTCAGAAAATACCCACAACTCAAGAAGTACTTTCCATGTTTAAAGAAGAAAGAAGAACAGCATGTTCCAGTCCCACAGAAGAGGACCCCCGAAAATAACTCCGTTATTTTCTTGTCTTAACAGGGGAGGAGTTATATGTATAAATAAGTGTTATTTCATTGTAATTAAATACTGAATGCCTATTTTACATTATGTCACATATAAAAGCGAACTGCACGGTTCAAAGCAGACTTTTCACTCTCTGTACTTTGTCGAGAACGTTTGTAACAATAAAATCGTTTTTTAAAAACAACTCTGTTAATTCAGACCTCAAAACTTGTGCATCTGATTCACGTAAAATATATAGGGTGTTCCATTTAAATTAAACAAGTTATTGCCGTTTAAAGCTAGTAATTATTTAATATAAATTTTTGGACACTCTGTATAAGGTAGTAAAATTTTTATTATTGCAACACAATATCTGATCAATAAATAATCTTCAGTAAATATTTAGTACTAAAAACTTTGATACCCTGGGAGAAATAAAGCCTTAAAAATTTTTACTACAATTTCATAAAATTGAAAATATTTCAAAAACGGTAAGGTTTAAGTGTGATAAACCTTAATCAAATTTACCTTTATTTCAATCGTAGAATCCAAAAATAGAATAATATACAGGGTGTTCCATTTAAAAAAATTCAACTATAATATTTTTTACTTATTTGAGACACTCTATATCTTGTAAAAATATTTTTAAATTGTAGCTCTAATAGACCTTCAACGAACTCAAAACTTACAATTTGTAAAAATCTAATCGTTTAGCTACAATACTCCGTGTCGTATGTGGTGAACAACCCTGTAGAAGCAAAAATAACTAAAATTAGTTCATCTATCATCAGTCAAATAGACACATCAAAATAGTCTAGAGGACCAAGTTGAAATTGTCGTATTTGTAAATAGAAGAATTTTAGGATCCAATATTGGTATGCAGAAGTCATAGGCAGAAGTTCTGGTTTTATTTTTTTTTCTTAGTTGTTGCTTTTTGAATTTACTGATAAATGAGTTAAATTTCCCAAGTACCTGTGATGGCTCATTTTTTTCGTAGAATAAAGTTTCTTCTGTGTCTGCTTCAGTCTGTGCAGTTTGATATCTCTGTGTTTAGTTGTGAGTGCAGTGGCGGATACAGAGGGGGGCCATGGGACCCGGCTCCCCCTTAAAATCTATAGATTGGGGTAAATAGCATATTCTACATTACTTTTTATTTGGCCCCCACCCCTAAAATAAATTCCTGTATTTACCCCTGTGTGAGTAGTTTTAATTAATATTGCAAAGGAATCATGTTGAGCGTGAATCTCAGTTGAAGGAATATAACCTACGTGGAAGCCCCAGTAAACTCAACCAGAAGTGCCATTGATCGTTTGTGGCTACTTTCTAGGGAGACCGGTGAAGTGAGGGAAAACACATTCACAGAATCATCCGGATTCTAGCAGTTCGGAATCCAAACCTTACAGCTACTCAAATAAATAAGATGCAAAATGTTCACCAACTAAATGGCAGTGCCAAAGCCATCTGTATTGTCTAACGACAAGCCGTGAAGTTAAAAAGGCAACGTCTCATATTTCAATTTAAATGGTCCGGCATAACTTAACCTAACTTTTGTTTTCATGGTTCATGGTGGCGATCGACAAAATATGAGAAAATAAGTTAACGAAACAAAGCGGAAAGCGGTTTGGCTTCGAGATGAAGACAAAAATTTTACACAAAACAGTACCAAGTCCTTACTATATCTAGGTTTCCACAAATAGCTTTGATAAAAATAGTTTTTAAATAGATTGTTATAGGAGAAATGAGTAAAAAAAGAGACCACACAAGAATTACAAAAAAAACATCTTTTATTTTTATTAAATACCTATTTATGGTAACTTGATCTAGCAAGTAAATTGTCCAATTGTGACCATCGGCTCAGTTTCTTGTCCTCAGGTAGAATCCATCTCAGCTCACGTACTGTTAGTTCACAGTTTCCGATAAACATTTGTACAGTAAATGTACTGTCAATAATGATACTCGACACAACATTAACACTATCTTCACTGTCTAAGTCATCCATACACACATTCAATAGAAAAAAAAACTTTCCCATCTTTAACTTTAAAATTCCACAGTTCCAAACACACTTTTGACTCAAAAGTTTCAAGAAATTCAGCAAAAACTATTTATTTTGTGACTTTTCAATTAAAAAGTTTCCTGTTATTTTCCTAAATTTCTCTTCCTTCTTGTTTCAGGGTCAGCTCAAAAAGTTGTTAGAGGTTTTGACAAGTGTTTGGGTTGATTAGGAAAAATGTCCTCTGCACCTTCACATAATATAATCTTGACCTTTTGAGTGGGAATTCGCCCAAAACCCCTTCTTTATTTTTAGGTTTCAACTCTTATTATCCCGGATTTTTAGAAATGTTTCTCACAAACTACAGAACTATTGGAGAATTCAAAATTATCCCTTTTTGTCGAATATGTTGCTCTTTTGGAAAAGAAAATGTCGTTTTCATTCCTTCATGTTTCAAAGTAGCTATAATTTGAGGTACACAGCAATGTCTAGGTATCTAAAGTTAATAATATTTTTATCAAATATGAATAACGAACACTTTTTATGAAGCAAGATTCCAGAATACAAAATGTTTAAATTATTCAACCAACTCACCTCGAGTTGGTTGTTTACACCTCCTAATTTGGGAAAAATCGATAAGAACCTAACCACAGAAATCGTAACCAGCGGACTAAACAACCTGTTGCCAGATTGCTTACCTCACGGCTTGTCGTTAGATAATGGCTTTGGCAGTGCCCAAACTGTGAGGAACAGATTGCATGAAGATAGATTGCATGCCCGCCGTCCTGTTTGACACGTAGAAATCGGGAAAGGAGATTAGAACGGGCCGAAGATCATGTTAATTGGGAAGAACAAGACTGGGTTCGTCCATTTCAAAAAAAGACAGGTGGCAACCCTAGTATAGGCTGACGGACTGATCTCGTTTTCGTCGAGGGGTTTCTAACAGCTGCTGTTGCTTATCGTGACACAATTTTTGAAACCATTGTTCTTTCTCAGGCAGCGCGAAGCAGGGAAGAATTTATTCTAATGCAAGAGAATGCACGCCGGCATGTAGCGAGAACCCTAGGAGTTTTTTTGAATCACCACAATATTACTCTCTTGCCGTGGCCTGCCCAATCTCTTAACTTATATTCTCTAGAGCATGTATGGAATATATTGCAAAGAGGTGTTATGAATCGTGCAATAGCGTGTTGCAAACCAGAACGGAACTGGAAAATTGTTTAAAGAGGAGTGGCAACAAATTGACTAAAACGAGACAGACAATTTAATTAGAAGTATGCTTGGCCGATGTATAGCTGTCAAAAATAATAGGGGCGGTCATCATGGATTTATAAAGTAACCAGATTGTCTCCAAACTACATTCTGTGAAGCCGAGCCAGTGAAATGTGTATACAGGGTGTCCCAGAAATAAGTGCAAATATTTTAAGGGGTGGTAGATCTCGATAAAAGAAACATATTTTCTCTTTATCCTTTTTCAAATAAGTCCAAAATAACGGTGTACTTTGAAATTTTCCAAAAAAAAATGATTTTTTGCTAAAATTTTGAGAACCGCTTGTCTTTCTTGTAAATTTAGTCTAATACCTATGTTGCCATATTATCAAGAAATGATGTTTTTTAACTTAAAACTAAAAATAAATTCTAAAACAATTTTCAAAAAATTTCGAATTTTCAATTGTTTTTTTTCGCGAAAAAACCTCATAGGCGTGTGTCTGGGGTTGAACTATAAATAAATAAATAAATGCCTTTATTGTCAAAAAAAATTACAATTTGTAGACAAAGGTAAAGTAAACAAACAAACAAACAAAAGAGAATACAAAACATTATACAATTAACATTGTCAGTCTTATTGTTTAAAATAAACATTTATAAATGTTTACAGTGTCAAAGAATAAAAAAATAAAATAACATTCAAAAATATTTAGTTAGTTTATAGTAAATATCAATGACCTCTAGATAAATTTATTTTTATACTACCAGTTAAAATACTTGCACTTATTTCTGGGACACCCTGTATAAGTCCTCTGAAGGAATTTGCATAAGTCGTTCAGGTAGGCCTGCTCAAGCGTAGTGCGCAAGCCTGGATTTTGAATTATCCGACAACTAGACCAATAAGAGACTAGCCGCTAGCACCAGCTGTTCATTCGTACGGCTTCGTCCAACTTCGTACGGCTTTCGTTTGCGCTCCCGTTCGACAATTGGCTAATTCTCAGAGTAAGGGCTAATCGATATTCGGAATTTTGGAGTTGCGCTATTGCGCCAGTGTCTGCCTAACAGACGAACTTATGTGAAATATACATGGACCGGTTATCTAGTTGTCTCTAACTCGGCTTCAACTCCAACGCATTGCAAGGATAGGCGATAATCCGTATATAGATTATATGTATATGGGGGTCATACATTGTATTAGATTTTTTTCCTAATAGTAAATTAAATAACTTTCTTTTTTTTGGGGGCCGCCGTAGAAAGTATCTGTGATTAAAATTAAATGTTTTTATTTTTAGTATGAACAAAGACATTCTGTCGACAATTTTGCTCTCCAACAGAAAACACAAAATTTTAACTTTGTCCCGTAAACCATTTTGATGTGTGTATTTATTTGATACAAGCGACATTTTTTTTAAAAACTTTTATCCCTTTATCTTTTTTTTCTATATTAAAACAAATTGTGTAACTAATATCCACAAATTTCAATAAGCTTCCTACTGCCAAGTTTAAGTACCAAAACAATTTTAGGTCTTAAAATAGCCCATACGTTATTGTACAACCATACGGCATGGTATAAGAATTCACCAATACTGGTCATTTGCTTAACAAACCATGCTTTGGATCAATTTCTTGAAGGAATACTTCCATTTACCGAAGACATAATAAGAGTGGGAGGACAATCTAAAAACCAACAACTGAAAAAATTTAATTTGGCGCATAGACGTACCAGGCATGCGGAGTCGGGTTGGTCGGCTGTTTCTTACAAGTACTTGCAATTCCGCAAACACGAAGTTAACGTTTATATGGATGTGTTAAAATCAATTAAACGGTTATTAGATCAAATTGCTTCCAAAGATGCTATAATAGATTTTCGGAACTTTCGGGTTATTGAAGATTTCAACGACACCTGGTTTGCAGAGCATTTAGAAGAAGATGATATTTTGCAATGGTTATTGGAGGGAAAACGTATAAACCCTTTAAAGAGAACTACTCCGTTAGTAAGTATTTATTTGCGGAATTTCCATCACTCAGTGATATTACATTACACGTATACATATTATATACATCCAGTTCAATACCAATCTATACCATACATCTGGCTAAGAGGCTGTATAGAAATGGAGCAATAATTTAATGTAATATCAACACAATAACACGTTGAATGGCATTTGCGATTTTTTGTTACCTAGTGTTTTCCAATGTTATTTAAAAGTGGCTTTAAATATAGGTTATGGGAACTGCACAAAAGATGTCAAATAACGAAAATGAAGTAGACAATCTATATGCTTCTGATGACGATGACCGTAGAATTGCACTTGACGCATTGATGGCCGAGTTCGATAAATTTGGTGATATTGAAAAAGAGACCTGTTTTATACCAGAGCCTTTGCTTTGTTTGAAAGAACTCAAGGAAGAGTTGACGGCATTGGATGCGACCTTAAATTTAATTAAAAAATGCCCTGAGTCTACTTCAGAATCAGTGATTAAAATTGAACAGCTCGAAGCTGAAATTTATGACATTCAATCGACTATTGAGTATTTGGAGGTTTGTGTACTATACCCTGCTGGTAATCCAATTTATGTGGTCTGGATTTTAATGAGCGTGACAGAGAATAATATAAATGAACGGTTGACAGACAGAGAGACAAAATCAAAAGCGGCGTACAGTGTTGCCGTTTTTTTACGTTTGTAGGAAAATGTGTGTAGAAAAATATAAGTTATTTTAAAAACTTTCATGTATACTACTGAAATGATGAGAATATATCTACATTAAATATAATCTATTACAGCTGTAGTAAAATGAGTAACTAATAGTGAAAAATGGATTTCCAACCCTAAATGCAACATTTTTCGTAAACGCGTAAATTGTGCGGTTTGAAATTTTGATGCAAAAACCGGTAATACCGCATAGAAGAAATGTGTCGAGCAAATTTTTATCCCTTTTTAATACATTTGATTTTCCATTAAGCTGTCTACATCACTGTCTTAAGCTTGATTTTCATGCATCCGTTATACGTTGGTACGTTGGTCCGACGGTGCCCTGATTGTTCATAGCGTTTTCGCGCCACTTTTCATCCGTAAATATTTTACTTCAGCCCGTCAACGGACCCGTTCATACCATAACGGACGTTTTGACACTTTTTTGACAAATTTAATCATAAATAATAAAAATATAAGTAAAATAGCAAAATCATTATGGAAACGAAAATATAAAATAACACCAACGTATATCCGATAAACGGAGGCATGAAAATGCAATAAATTTAAAAACTGCGTTATTTTCTAACCAATCAAAGTCTTTAAATTCTACCAATAAAATAAATATCGTGTCAACTTATCGTCGGACAACGGATGCATGAAAATCAAGCTTTACACGTTGAAATCCAGACCGCACAGTTTCGATGACCAAATCGGTATAATACTATTTATTGATATTGTCTAATTATTTTCTTAGACTCATTTAAGTAACTATTCATATCAAAGAGATAGAAGAATGCCACCGTTGGTTAATTTACAACATCCAGAATCTGTGCCACCAGCTAGAAGATGGCTAATTTATTTTTATTATTTGGATAAGCTCAGAGATCATTTAAGGTAAATTTATAATAGTTAGTCTTAAATAATCACTTTTTTATTTAATTCTATATCACCTTTAGTGATGCAAAGAGAGTACTTATTAATGCAGTTATTAAGTTTATCGTAAACATTATTTTAATTCAGATTGGTTTAAACTATTTCTAAAAATACTTTTGTTCAAATAATAGTAGTGGCCGGCCGTAGCTCCAGCAGTGTAGAAAGTTCTCATGCTGACACTTACGACAGTTTTGACAATTATGACAGTTTTTAAGGTAGCGTTTACGGAGCACGTTATCTAACGGACCGGACGTTAGCGGAAATTTGCCGAAACCTTATTTTACGTCATAAAAAATAATAATGATATTTTGATGTACAAATATATACAGAGTGGTTCGAACTGTATTCCGGAAACTTTGGCAGCATATTCAGATTTTGCAGATAAAAATAAGTAAAAAAGTTCCTAAATTGCTTAGTTTCGGAGATACAGGATGTAGAAGTTTCATTTTTATTTCGATTTTTTCCAAATAATTTCTGAAGTAACGTCAATATTTGTATGAAAATTGGTGTCTTATTGGAGTTTATTGACATGAGAAATTTGATTTTGATGTCAATATGACTCCTATTTGTAGGGGGCGCCACCTATACATGTGTTTTAACTGTTTTGAAGAGTAATAACTTTTAGTTCGTACCTGTATAAAACTACTGAGTGAAAAAATATACATTTCCGTGATTTTTTACGTTAGATATGTCTCTTGGTAAAAATCGCTACGAGCCACCGTTCTCAAGATATTTAGAATGGAATAAGTAGTCAATACATGTCATTATTGACAAAAAATAAATATGTTGACTAGATAGTTATTTGACTGAAATGATAAATTTGGGAACTTTTTTTTTAAATTAATCATAAATTTTTCTTCGAAAAAATGATGATAAAACCGTTTCTGTTGAACTTTTCACACAAAATCTTTTCAAATGATTTCAGTCTAATAACTATTTAGTAAACATGTTTAATTTAAGTCCATGATGACAGGTATTGATAATTTCGATTCCAAATATCTCCAGAACGATTACTCGTAGCGATTTTTGCCAAGAGATATTTTTTACGTAAAAAACGTCGTAAATATATATATTTTTTTCAAACCAGTTTAAACACATGTAGATGGCGTCCTCTACATATAGGAGTCATATTGACGTCAAAATCAAATTTGTCATGTCGAAAAACTCCCAGACTCCAATTTTCATCCAAATATCGACGTTAATTATTTGAAAAAAATCAAAATAAAAATAAAACTTCCACACCCTGTATCTCCAAAACTAAGCCATTTTAGGACATACATTTATACGAACATTTTTAGTTATTTTTATCTATAGAATATGCTCCCGAAGCTTCCGGAATACAGTTCGGACCACCCTGTATATTATTTATAATAATTAGATACAATTTGTAACATGTTACAAATATATCCTTCGCCATTGTTACAATTGTACCGAGCTGACATCCCTACACATTTATTGAAATTACAAAACCGGAACGACAACCTTATCTTAAACTGCAAATACCATGTTAGACGTACCGGGTGGCCAACTATATCTCAGCCGGCTGTATCTCAGAAACTACTTATCGTATAACATTGGGAAAAAAATTCTAATGAGTAAATCGACCAAGATAAATCGCTGGAAATTATTTTCAAATTCGAAAAATGTCCGCTAGAGAGCGTTTCTGTGATAGCCAATCAGAAAACAGGGTTTTTCTAAAAAATATGCAGGTGAACAGGTATTTTAAATATTACTATTGTAATCATCGAGAAATTTGTAATTTATTTGATATAGAGTATTTTTCTGTTTCTCTATCTCATAAAATAAAGTGGTGGGGGAATTTTAAATTTGCTTTTATTAAAATAAGGATAACTCTGGTTTGGGTTACCCGATTTAAACAAACTAGGGCTCGTTTAAAAGCGCTTTTCTTCCTTAATGATCTCCAGTATAAATTTTGTTTCCATATTTTTTTTTTCGTCGTAGCTAGAGGGCGCTGTTTGACATCATAACAGATATTACGCTTTTGCATAAAAAAATTAAATAGGAGGCTATATTTCTCTTTGCATAGTTAAATAGAGCACAAAATTTCAAAAAAGTATCAGCGTAAACCGCAACTTTCTATCTTCTCTCTAACCGGAGATATTAAGAGAACAAATCATGTTAGGCTGCCGCTTAGGATTATATAGTCTTAAAATTATAGTAGTAGGCTAGGAAACAAAAAGAGGTAAGTTAGTTATGTCAAAATATCAAAACGTTTAAGTTCAGTTTTCATGCATGCGAATTTCGGGCGTTTTCTTAAAAAAATAACGTCATAAATATTCAAACGTGTTTATGTAGCATTATCATCCATCCATATAATTGTTACGAATTTCTTGGTTAATTATACGTAGGTAGTAGGTAGTTCTCATATTAAAATGTCCGAAAATCGATAATTTTAATAAAATGTATATAAAATCAATAATTTTAATAAAATTTCGAGGACTTTTGTTCCGCCGCCGTATTGCTTTTCACAGAAAACGGCCGAATTTCGTATGGCCGAAAACTAGGGGTTTATTTCATGTAACGTCATTACAGGTTATTAGTTATTAATCCAAGTTAGTCCTTGATTTCACTTGTTTTCGTGTTTTACCTGTTGTTTTGTGTTAGTTATTGGTTACGTATATATATGAACTACTTGCACCATTATTACTACTTGCTGAACTACTTGCACCATTATTTAGACCAATAGTGCATATTGTTAAGATTCGCACCTTCGGCTTAGTAGTTCGTAAAGTGGCGATAAGAGACAATAATTCTCAACATTTATTCATTCAGAAAGGTATTCAAAGTAATGTGCGCTTTTCAAGATGGCCATGGGAATATGCCGCGTCTCTATCTACTAAAGTAAGTGGTATCCAAGAAGCCCCACACATTCATAGCAAACAAAAACGGCACAACTGCACCAACTGCATCAACTACATCGACTGCATTCATGCTGATGAAATTGCAACAAATGCAATTTCATCACGATGTGTCCCCTAACATAACTGGCAATTCATTTCTTAGAAATTATGGATAGTTCATTTCATTCAGACAACTAAAAAGGTCCAATCATTCGCCATCCTAGAATTCCTGCCTAAACATTTACGGACCAACAGTCTTGGTGCTGAACTACTTGCACCATTATTTAGACCAATAGTGCATATTGTTAAGATTCGCACCTTCGGCTTCGCTGCTATATGAAAGGTGTATATATATATATACCAACAGTCTTGGTGCTGAACTACTTGCACCATTATTTAGACCAATAGTGCATATTGTTAAGATTCGCACCTTCGGCTTCGGTGCTATATGAAAGGTGATATATATATATAATATATATATATATATATATATATATATATATATATATATATATATATATATATATATATATATATATATATATATATATATATATATATATATATATATATATATATATATATATATATATATATATATATATATATATATATATATATATATATATATATATATATATATATATATATATATATATATATATATATATATATATATATATATATATATATATATATATATATATATATATATATATATATATATATATAATAATGGTGCAAGTAGTTCAGCACCAAGACTGTTGGTCCGTAAATGTTTAGGCAGGAATTCTAGGATGGCGAATGATTGGACCTTTTTAGTTGTCTGAATGAAATGAACTATCCATAATTTCTAAGAAATGAATTGCCAGTTATGTTAGGGGACACATCGTGATGAAATTGCATTTGTTGCAATTTCATCAGCATGAATGCAGTCGATGTAGTTGATGCAGTTGGTGCAGTTGTGCCGTTTTTGTTTGCTATGAATGTGTGGGGCTACTTTCACTCAGAAAATACATGTTTCACTCAACAATTATTGACAACGTATTTTGTTTTTTCGCTATTTTTTCGATGTATTTCGACAATTCCATCGACAGCCTAACCGTGAGCCAAGAAATGCCGCGTGTGAACTGGTCCTATGAGTCGCCGGTCGTCGCGCCGTCGTTGCGGGCTTGCGTCAGACGACGATGTTAAACAACGTTGCCGTAGTTACAACAATTTCAAATTCAAGACATTCGAAGCAATCAAATTCGTATTAAATTTTAAAAATAAAACAGAGAAACATGAAAGGAAATAAATAAAACAAAAATGAATTGATTATTCGTCGGGCTGTTTTCGATGTATTGAATTCTGAATTACGATAAACATTTTAGAAATTTCTTTTTTGTGACCTTATCCATAACCAATTCATTTGTGTTTTGTTTGTTTCCTTTCATGTTTTTCTGTTTTATTTTTAAAATCTAATAAGAATTTGATTGCTTCGAGTGTCTTGAATTTGAATTGTTGAAACTACGGCAACCTCGCATGACGCAAGCTCGACACGGCGGCGCGACAAAGGAGCAGTTACCAGTGATGCGCCGCTCTCTTGGCCGACGGCCGACGCGACGGTTGGGCTGTTGATGGAATTGTTGAAATACATGGAAAAAATAGCGAAAAAACAAAATACGTATTTAAAATTGTTGAGTGAAACATGTATTTTCTTAGATTGAAAGTAGTTCGGAAAGTGGCGGTTAGAGACAATAATTCTCAACATTTATTCATTCAGAAAGGTATTCAAAGTAATGTGTGCTTTTCAAGGTGTTTTGTAAATCAGTGGTTCAAATTGTGATGAGGCCTATAAGAAAATAATGTGTTAAAAATAGGGACTGTTATTTTAGTAGTTATTATAATAGCATTTATAAGTAAAGCAGCACAGTGAAGTGTATTTTAATTAAGTGTATATCGAAAAAGAGAACTGTCACAGTTACATCGATCTGTCATAAGTATTTTTTTTAATGTTGGGTAAGTTTTTTAATTTAACTTTTTTAAAACATTTTTTAACACATTATTAAACATTTAACTTTTAATTTATTTTATGTAATAATATCACAATCTTAAAAATGTAATGCATCTCTGCAAACTCCTCAGGTGCTGTGATTTTATGACTTACTTTTAACATATACTTTCTTGTCCCTATGGCAACACAGTGCGTCGAATTAACTGAAATCCGGGCTTGATCCGGGTAATTGGATGTAGTTGGCGATATCTGTCGGCGGTTCTCAAAATGTTGCGATTATTTTTTTAAATTTTCAAAGTTAAATAACTCGGTTATTTTCAATTTATTTTAAAAATGGTAAAGAGAAAATATGTTTATTTTGACCAGATCTACCACCCCTTAAAATATCTGCACTCGTTTCTGGGACACCCTGTATAATCCTAAGGGGGAGCCTAATATGATTTGTTGTTTTAATATCTCCGGTTAGAGAGAAGATAGAAAGTTGCGGTTTGCGCTGATATTTTGGAAATTTTGTGCTCTATTTAACTGTGCAAAGAGAAATATAGCCTCCTATTTATTTTTTTTATGCAAAAGCGTAATATCTGTTATGATGTCAAACAGCTCCCTCTAGCTACCACGAAAAAAATTATGGAAACAAAATTTATACTGGAGATCATTAAGAAAGAAACGCTCTTTTAAACGAGCCCTAGTTTGTTTAAATCGCGTAACCTAAACCAGAGTTATCCTTATTTTAATAAAAACAGATTTAACCTTCCCCCACCACTTTATTTTATGAGATAGAGCAAAATACTCTATATTAATAAAATTAGAAATTTCTCGATGATTACAATAGTAACATTTAAAATACCTGTTCACCTGCATATTTTTGATAAAACCCCTGTTTTCTGATTGGCTATCAGAGAAACGCCATCTAGCGGACATTTTTCGTACTTGAAAATAATTTCCAGCGATTTCTCTTGGTCGATTTACTTATTAGAATTTTTTACCCAAAGTTGTACGATAAGTAGTTTCTGAGATACAGCCGGCGTCCATTCTTAGTTGGCCACCCGGTACATACATAGGCTACAGAAGTATGTACCTACATTGACTGTAAAATATCAGATATGTTATTTATTTAAAAACTGATAAAAAGGCTTAAATTTTACTTTTGGGTCGATAAATAGATACACCTCTATTGTTATGTCACTGCACCATTGCACAAGTCTCAACTGTCGTTAGAATCTTGAAATTGATTAAATGACACGGTGCCAGATTTATGTAATTGAATTTAAAAAAGTTATGGTAACAGTTACATACCGCGTTACAATGAGGAAGATGCATATATTTTATTTTTCGCCAGAAACTGTTCAATTTATCAGAATAAATATGTATAAATGTAAAAAAAAACTTTTTTCTTGAAAGCAGTACCACAATTTTATAAAACGGGCCACTAAAATACTATGGATAACGCAAACGACGCGACGCCTCGCAAATTGAAACAATATTCTATTGGTCTGACGTCACCCGCCGTTCTCGTCGACGCGTGATGGCCAGCAGCAGTCAGACGTGTTCCGTTTATGTACGTACTTAGGTGGCGTTCTAAGACATTTTTGTTGCTTTTAGCGTTGATTGAAGGAGCTTATTATGCTTTTTTGTGCAGTTATTCTTTGTATGTGTTGTGCGTTCTGAGAATTTTTTAAGTAATGGCAGATTCCGGGTTTGTAAAAGCACAATCAGATAACTTGCCAAAAGTCGATGCTTTTATGTTGGCTGCTTTTATAAATACAAATTCCCAATTTATTGGTGCTGAATTACGAGGAAAAAAACAGAGAGGTATATAACACTTTGTAGTACTGAGGCATATTTAAGTATAAGTAGGTACCTACTGTTACGAACTTTTATATAGTTATAAATTAATGTTATAAACTTATTTTTCAGATCAGGTAGGGAGACGTATGGAGATAATGCTGTAGGTTATGTAGAAGTGAAAAAAAACAAAAATATTTGTTTATTACGTGGAAAAATAACTCCAGAGCATAGCGTGAAAAAGAAAGTTTTTTTATATATTGACACCCCCTTACTCTTGTTATTTTTAAAGATTTTTTTTTACGAAATTATAGGAAATAAATTGTTTATCAGTAATGAAAATATTATACAAGATGTCCCATAAGCAAACGCCAAAATTAAGTTACTTTTTTAAGCGAAACACCCTATATATTTTTGGATTCTTCAGAAATTTCTAGATATTCTAGATATATTTCATGTATAATATCCTATACCTATCTTCAAATGTTTACGAAATATTGACAGTTGAAATGCGAAAAATACCTACAATTTTCTGGACCACCTTTTTTGAGACACCCTGTATAACTAGAATTAATTTTAAAAGAGAGTATATGAAAAACCATGCAACTTTTTTATTTAATGTTTTCTTCTAAAACTTGCAGTTAAGGCTGTATGTGGGTGTCAAAATATAATGAATAACCCTGTACATTCAAATTTCATATACTTATGTAAGACAATATACATAAATATATGAACTTACATCAAAATGATCTTCACAACAATAAATCGTAAAAATAGAGGATAAGTTAACGTTTTTCTTTTCATCTCTTCTCATGGCCTTGGGCCATTTTTTTCTGTTTTTGTTCATCTATTACTATTTATAAATATCACTAATTACTAATTATGTATTAATTAACACAAATAACTAAAATTTTGACTCGGATTCAACAGCGTTTAAAAGCAAACTGGGTAAAATAAACACGCGTCTGGCTCCACTCAACCAGAAGAACGGCAGGTGACGTCACAGCGGCAAGGCGCGGTAGAGAGCGTTTGCCCGGCCATTTAAATTAACAATATTTAATTATTTTATATTAGAGGCATTTCTTAACCGATATCAACGATTTTTTTTTGTTCAATTTGTAATTATATGAACTATTTTTTAAAACCATTATTTAAAAACATGCATTTTCCTCATTGTACACGCTTTTCCCTACTTGTAAAATTAATTTTCTACGTGTATGTAGAAAGTGCGTAGAAATTGTAGAGTATATTAAGTAGAACATGTATAAAATCTAGGAACGGGTACAAAATTAATTTTGTATATTTAAAGCCGTTTTTCACTTTAGAAGTTTCTTCCTTGGTATTGTTGCGGACCCGTGTGGACTCGGCATAACCTAACTAGCTAAAATGTCCCGCCCCCATATGACCTTAATATCGCATTAAAGAATAGACACCGTAATGATTCATTCGAACGTTCGAGAAAAATCGATCTCCACTAGAATGGAGTAGTACATACGAGAACATTCGAAACCTTCTCTATGCACGTAATGATCTACGGATTATTCGAGAACTCTTTAGTTGTGAGTATAAAAACCGGCGGCTGGAGCCTGAAGAGGACAGAAATAAATAGACGAGTACAGTTGACTTTCTAGATAAATAGTTATAAATCGTTTGTAAATAGTTCTTTAAGTCTTTTATTGTTTTTGTTAATTAGTGTTAAATAAATTGTGACTCTCTATCCACACGGAACCGACGAAAAACGTAACAGTATTTTCTTTAAATTCTGTAAGCGTTAAAACTGTAATATGAGTGCGCGCGCTATCTCTCTAGTCTGTGACGGTACTAACTCCTTGAAGATAAGAGACAGTAATCGGTCTGAAGACTATTAAAATATTTTTTCTTATTTAATCAGGTGAAGACCGTACAGAAAAGTTTGATTTTTAAAAGTGTTTGTTGTTCTTTTTTTTTTAATTTTACCATAGAAAGCTGTGGTTTCATAAACTATATACATATAATAATACTTATTGTAGTTTGTAGTTCTTACTTTCATTATTACACAGAATTATTCTGTAAACTTTGATCTTACTATTGAAAACTTCAAAAAAAAATCATTAATATATGATATTTTCAAAATCAATAACTCGGAAACGGTTGGTTTGAGGTACATTGTGTGTATTTCGAATTGAAGGAAGAATCGAAATAGGCAATAATATACAGGGGGTTCCATTTAAAAAATTGAAACTTTAATGTGCCACGACTTTAAGACCGACCCTGTATACTTAAATGTATTACCCGCCCCCGCTAATAGATATTTAAAAACCTTATAAGTTTTATATTTAGCTTTTTGCTGTATAACACCAATACCTTATACATCTATTAAAATATTGGACCGATTTTTGTTTATTAATTAGTGCTTTCAAATTCAACAACAGTTATTTACTAAGGAATAATTAATTTTTACAGGGATACATATAAAGTAGTGACAATCAAATATCAAGAGGCTTTTCGAATTTACAACGATCTACGACAGATGGAAGATGCTCGCATAATGGAAAATTGTCGTCTGGTAGGTATGACCACAACAGGAGCAGCCCGATTACGTAGCACCATACAGGTAATAATAGACGATACACAGGTTGTTTCAAAAATCACGTATCTCTCGTGGGTCGATTCCTCACGTAAAAATAAGATTTATTTTTCTATTAACGTAGGTCCTATTCTGCTTTTTTGTAGCTACAGAGGGTAAAAAGAGAGAAAGTCTTAATTTGTTCTATTTATTTTAATTTTTTTGCAAGTGCTTTTAAGCGTAGTTTACACGGGATAGAAAATTGAGATAGAACTTGCTAGAGTAACTTGCGATAGTGTTTACATTAAGCAAATTTTAAAGCAATTTCTTGCAACAAGTACTTTCTAACCATATGCTTTGAGCAAGAAATTGCATGCACGTATACACGGTATGGTGTATATTGCACAAGTATATTGGTTTAGTAGAAAAATGTCGCGCCGTAAAAAGAGAGCTGCAGCTCTTCTTGATGCAATTTTACTCAAACACTCAAGAAAATCTAGAAAAAGAATATGGGTTAAAGAACGGATTGCCAGAAGGCCTAGTCTTGGAGCTTACGCGATGTTATTAAAAGAATTAAGAAATGAAGACCCAAAGCATTTAAACAATTTTCTGCGAATGTCAGAAGTCGATTTTAACTTTTTACTACAACTAATTTCGAAATTGGATATAATCAAAAAAATATCAAAATTTGATATGCCACAATTACAAAAATACTTCAAATATACTAATCAAAGTGATGGTATCTTCTTTCGACCACATACGTTTCTCCATTTTAACAAAGTTTACAGAATTTGATTTTAATATCGTTATTTAACACGCTTCCGAAAATCACTTGCACCAAAAACTTTCAAGAAGACGGAAATAAATTTTAACTTGCCAGAGCACTATCTCAACCTGTTTACACTTGCAAGCGTCTTTCGCCGCAACCACTTCCCCGCCAGTTTTATGACTTGCTGGGAGAGTGCTTTCGGATACTGTTTACATTATGCAAGTTTGGTAGAAGTGCTCTCAGACATATACTTGCGATAATTTACTTGCACGTATAAACTACGCTTTAAGCGTAGTTTACACGGGATAGAAAATTGCGATAGAACTTGCTAGAGTAACTTGCGATAGTGCGGTTAAGCAAATTTTAAAGCAATTTCTTGCAACAAGTACTTTCTAGGCATATGCTTTGAGCAAGAAATTGCATGCACGTATACACGGTATGGTGTATATTGCACAAGTATATTGTTTAGAAGAAAAATGTAGCGCCGTAAAAAGGGAGCTGCAGCCACTGCTCTTCTTGTTGCAATTTTACGCAAACAGTCAAGAAAATCTAGAAAAAGAATATGGGTTAAAAAATGGATTGCCAGAAGGCCTAGTCTTGGAGCTTACGCGATGTTATTAAAAAAAATAAGAAATGAAGAGACCCAAAGCATTTAAACAATTTTCTGTGAATGTCAGAAGTCGATTTTACTTTTTCTTTTTATAATTTTGTTCCACTCCTAGTTTGCTTGGGTACGAATATTATGTAGCTTCCGCTGAATCTCAGCCTCAGTTGTGTTGAATTTGTCAGCTATAAATTTGATTGCTTTTTGCTTTTTAGCTCTATCTCTAAATTTTCGATTTTTTTGCCCCAATTCCGGAAATCCTTCAAATAAATTGATCAAAGTGATGGTATCTTCTTTCGACCACATACTCCATTTTAATATCGTTATTTAACACGCCTTCAAAAATCACTTTCCAAATCACGCACCAAAAACTTTCAACAAGACGGAAATAAATTTTAACTTGCCAGAGCACTCTCCCAACCTGTTTACACTTGCAAGCGTCTTTCGTCGCAACCACTTCCCCGCCAGTTTTGTGACTTGCTGGGAGAGTGCTTTCGGATACTGTTTACATTATGCAAGTTTGGTAGAAGTGTTCTCAGATATATACTTGCGATAATTTACTTGCCCGTGTAAACTAAGCTTTAGCCATTTGAATGAAATTTTGACTTAATCTAACCTAACCTAACCGTCTCTTGTGTTTTGGCGCTAACTGCGATAAGTGCGACATATTTTAATGCTAAAAAAGTGTCGACCTTGTGTCGACAGATTCACCAGGTACGCGCATATGGGTTATCAATGGAATATTTTTCTAAAAAAAGAAAACCATGTGCGCCACTGACTTTTCCTCTTGTTAGCAAAATTCTGTAGGCCGTTTAATGCCGATTAAAAGTTGTTGATATGTTGTCGAGCTCGGTCTTCTTGATGAGATAAACACAATTTTATTAATCTGCCTTAATCCCATTTAAAATTTTTTAATTAATTTATATATTTATAAAAATAAATGTCATTAACTGGCTAGAGTGTTAAATAAGTACTCATTAATTCCTTATGAAAAATACGAAAAAAAAATCCTATAAACACGAGTGCGGAAATGCTGTTTTAAAGTTACAGTTTGTTAAGACTTTAAAAATAATAGGTCGTTTGTCATCATCATCTGTTTAAAGGCTTCGGCATATTTTCAACACACAATTTCAAAAAATGCAGTAAAATATCTCGAAAATTTAGTTCTTAAAAGAACTGTTTGTGCTTAGAAGTACAATTTAAGAAAACAACTGTGAAAAACGGCAAAGAACGAAAATTACTCCCAAAAATTCAACAACACGATATTATACAAAATAACTGACTATTGTCAAATAATAAACGACAACGTTGCTGAACATGGCGCAATGTGACCAATAGGGTGGAACGAAAAAAAAAATTCAAAAATATTTTCACACAAGCCTCAAAATGTGCCTTGAGACAAGTAATTTTTTTTCTCAAAAGCTAAGTGCCCTGCCTTGGTATCTTCAGGTTCCTCACGGGCCTTAAAAGCTGAGATATTTTGAAAAATATTTGTTTTTTTGCCCGTCAACATATTTGATAATTATTTATCTTTTACCTTTAACACACTGCTTAACATGACTATAAAATATAACCCAATAATGTTATCCAAACTAAATCACTTAAATTATTGTTTTCCGGTTCCTCAATATATTTGAAACTTGTCCACCTGCATGATAAACTACCGTCCGTGGCACTTGCCTGTGACAAAACTGGAGTTTGAGATCACGCTGCCGCTATAATATATATATATATATATATATATATATATATATATATATATATATATATATATATATATATATATATATATATATATATATATATATATATATATATATATATATATATAATCGCAAATGCTGTTTTAGAGGATATTCGAGTAGTGTCTAAAAGCAGTTCTACACAGATAGTAGATGGAATGAAGATCAGGAGGGCCAGAATGTCTCAACGTAACGTTTGTATTAGTGTATTAGGTGAAATGTCGTTATTAGGCGTGTTTTATTAGACAATTTCAATTCTGTGTTATTAGACAGTTTCAATTCTCCTGAATTTTACAACAACTAGGGTTTCACAATTCTCTAGTTTCTGTCCAATAACACCTTTGAGTCCACCTGGACCAGAAGTTTCACCATCTAGCTCTTTTACTAAATGTCGCAAAGGAAGTTCATTTAAATGGAATAAACAAATTAACCATTGGAAGGGACATTTTAATTCTTTTTCCAACAAACGAATAGCGCCATTTTTCACTCCCGTATTCACAACAGTTCCATCTGTCCCAACTGCTACTAAATCGGAAAGTTCTGTCAAGTCAAACTTTTCTTTCAAGAAATTAACCAAAGACCGTTTTATATAACATGCAGATCCGCTTTCCGGTGTGACATGGCCCAAATACTTAGAACCGGGTTCACTTAGAATAGAAATATGTTCTTCCACAACGCGTTTTCTCTTCCTTTTATTCTTATTGTAAATAATAGTAGAGTCCTTTCGACCATCAAAAAACAAGCCTAATAACGACATTACACCTAATACACTAGTACAAACGTTACGTTGAGACACTCTGGCCCGCCTGATCTTCATTCTATCTACTATCTGCGTAGAACAGCTTTTAGACACTACTCCAATATCCTCTAAAGCAGCATTTGCGATTATAGCGGCAGCGTGATCTGAAACTCCAGTTTTGTCACAGGCAAGTGGCACGGATGGTAGTTTATCCTGCAGGTGGACAAGTTTCAAATATATTGAGGAACCGGAAAACTTATTGGGTTATATTTTATAGTCATGTAGCAATTATGTATATATGTAGCAATTATGTATATAATTATCAAATATGTTGACGGGCAAAAAAAACAAATATTTTTCAAAATATCTCAGCTTTTAAGGCCCGTGAGGAACCTGAAGATACAAAGGCAGAGCGGTCAGCTTTTGAGAAAAAAAATTACTTATCTAAAGGCACATTTTGAGACTTGTGTGAAAATATTTTGCAAACAATTTTTTTTTTCGTTCCACCCTAGTGACCAACTAGGCGATAATAAAAATCAGTTTAAACTATTTTTTGCAGCTTTACTCTAAATAAAATATCTGTTAAATCATTTGCTCTATAAAGTAAAGTATAATAAAGAGCTGCTTGGTATCTTAAATTAGTCCACAAATTTAAACATTTTTGCTAAAATTTCATTTACTCATGTTTATAGGCTTTAGTGCTCTATAAAGTAAAGTATAATGATAAGCTGCTTGGTATCTTAAATTAGTCCACAAATTTAAAAATTTTTGCTAAAATTTCATTTACTCATGTTTATAGGCTTAGTGGCAATTTCGATGTGATTGATGACGTGCATCTGAAAATGTTTTGCGATTACAATAGAACATCCAAAAAGGGATTTATTTAAATTTTTTTTTGTATAATTATACAGAGCAAAAGGTTTTGGTTTTAATCAAATTCAAAACATCAATTGAGACCGAAGTGTAAATTTATGTAAATCAATTAACTAACAATGCCAAATGCCATACGATATGGTCTTTCTCAATAACCTGTAACATGATGTAAAATTTGTCTTCTTCATTATTTTGAATGCATAATACATCTTTTAGTCCCTCAAAAATCCTATTGTAATAGTGGAAGAAGCAGCGGAAGTTTTAGAAGCTCACATTATTGCAGCACTAACACAGAATTGTCAGCATCTTATATTAATAGGTGACCATCTTCAACTTAAACCAGGAGCCGCTGATTTTGAAATTGAAACTAAATACAAATTGGGTAAGTACGAAAATCAAACAAAGTTAAAATATTTAAACGGATGATTTTGATTTTCCAAGTTAAAAAGTTATAAAATATAAGTTTTTATGCATTAATATTTTCATATATTTGAAAAAAAATCTATAAAAATGTTTACATCATCTACATGGTTTTTCATTAAATGTTTTTTAGGATCTAAGCAAATCTGAATTTAGGGTGAATTAGAACTTCTGCGTATATACAGGATGTTCCACTAAGAATAGCTTTCGGCTGTATCTCCGAAAGTATTAGCCGTAGAGCCTGCGGAAAAAAAATATTTATAACTAAAGAGGCTATGAAAAATTGCTGGAAACTATTTTCAAGTTTGTATAACGGCCGCTACAGGGCTATAAAAAAATAAGAAAAAGGAGTTTTTACACAATTTTACCTAGATAACAGGTACTATAAATAATAGCTTCATGATCTTCAGTAAATTTTGAATATTTTTTATTAGAACCATTTTCGCCTATCTGCCAAAATAAAGTGGTGGGGAAGGTTAGATCTGGTTTTATTTAAATATTAATAACTCGGAACTAGATGAACGGAATCCAACAACCGGGGGCTTGTTTAAAAGAGCGTTTCTTACTCTATATTATATCGTATAAACAAAAAATCAGCAATTAAAAAGTCAGCGAAAATGGCATCTTGATATCTTCTTTCTAATCGAAGATATTAGCAAAATTATAATAGATACGATGCAAGGAAGGGTCACCCCACAACACACAGGAGAATTCATGGCGTAGGCATTGCAATCAAGAACGAAATTGCAACCAAATTAACAGAAGTACCTATTGGTGTCTCCGAACGCCTTATGACCCTAAGGTATCCCATATCAGACAAAACTTACGTCAACATCATTAGTGCCTACGCTCCCACCCTAGACGCTAAAATTGAGGATAAGGATAAATTTTACCAAACTCTGCAAAATGCTCTCCAACGAATTCCGAAGAACGAACGAATTATCTTGCTAGGTGACTTTAACGCCCGTGTCGGTAAACAACAGGAAATATGGCCTGACGTATTGGGAAAACATGGTATGGGAAACGTAAATAGCAACGGTGAACGCTTATTAACAACATGCACAGAGTATAATCTTTGCATCACCAATACGTGGTTCATGTTGAAGGACAAGTTTAAAGGTACCTGGAAACATCCCAGATCAGGCCACTGGCATCAATTGGACCACGTAATCGTTCGAAGGGCGCATCTAAAAGATGTCAGACTCACAAAAGCCAGGATAGATGCCGAATGCGGCACTGACCACCGACTTTTAATTTCAAAAATGAAAATCCAGTTAAAACCCAAACATCCACACTGTAAAAAACAAAACAACGTGACCAGATTGAACGTACGGGGTCTAGAGAACAACGATACCGTCGACGCCCTCCGGGAAGCCATCAAAGAATCACTTCCACCGATAACTCCAATCTCAATCTTGGAAGCTGAACAAGGCTGGACACAATTAAGGGATGCGATTCATAAAACCTACGAAGCTGTTCTGGGAAAGTCCAACAAAAAGAAACAACCAGACTGGTTTAACGAAAATCAACGTCATATACAGGCTTTGTTGGAACAAAAGTATAGAGCACATCAAGCAGTCACTTTAAATCCACACAACCCAAGGCTGGTAGACAACTTTAAAGCAGCCAACTACACGCTTCGGAGAAAACTACGCCAAATAAAAGATAACTGGTGGTCACAAAAAGCTAATCAGATTCAAGAGTACGCCACGCATCACGATTACCGTAAATTCTTCGAGGCTGTAAAAGAAGTATACGGCCCAACCAAGAAGGCAAGCTGCCCAATCATGGCACAAAATGGCGAACTTCTAAAAGAGGAAGAGCAAATCAGAAACCGCTGGAAAGAGCATTACAGCCATATCCTTAACCAAGAAAATAACCCCAATATGGAAGCGCTAAACACAATACCTCAGTATAACAGCCTCGATGTATTAGGTATCCCAATAACAGAACAGGAAATAAAGGCCTCCATAAAACAGCTTAAAAACAACAAATCAGCTGGCTGTGACGCGATTCCGGCGGAAATCTATAAGTGTGCAAGTAAAGAACTTATTGGTCATCTTAAGGCTCTCTTCGATGTCATATGGGAAAGCGGAGAGGTGCCTCAGGACTTTTGCAACGCAAATATAGTGAATATATTTAAGAACAAAGGAAGTGGATCAGACTGCGGAAACTACCGGGGAATTTCACTCTTGGCTATCGGCGGAAAAATTCTTGCAAAAATTATGTCAAAACGCCTGCACCCACATATAGAAAAAATCCTTCCAGAATCGCAAACGGGTTTTCGCACTAACCGCGGCACCGTCGATTCCATATTTTCCATCCGCCAACTATAGGAAAAAGTAAAAGAACAGCAGTCTAAACTTTATGTTGCATTCATCGACCTAACAAAAGCCTTCAATTCTGTGAACAGAGATGCACTTTGGGCAATTATGAAAAGTTCGGAGTACCCAACAAATTTCTTACAGTGTGTAAAAGCATCATAGCAGCGTTTTTCTCTTTTGAAGAAGGGCATTTTTAGAAAAGCGATCAAAAGATAAAAAAACGCTACTGAGACTATCAAAATGTTGATATAATAATAATATTTTGATAAACTATCCCTTTAAAAGCAACTTTTTTTAAAAAAATTAATTTAATTTAATTTTTTTTCCGTTATCCTTTTTAGTTACTTGAATTCAGTGAAGCGTCGTTTCTTGTTCACTGTCATTGATATCTTAATTATTAGATATTAATACACCTAGTATTATTGTATTCTGGTACATTGTCGATTTTTTGAATAAAATAATCTTGTTTATCTTATTTTTTATTAGAATGGTCATAATCAAGAGGGCTAGTGATAGAGAAATAGCCCTGTTAGAAAAATAAGGCATTAAGGGCTTATTTTTTCTTATTTATTATAATTTTGTTAATAACTTTGGTTTGAAAAAAGATATCAAAATGCGGTTTTCGCTGACTTTTTAAGCTTTTATTACTCTTTAGTATCAGCCAAAAGTACATAATATACTATCGCCTTTATTTTTTTTTAAAAAAACGCGTATTGTAGAGGAAAATAGTTCTTACAAATAAGATCCAAAACTTACTGAAGATTATGAAGCTATTATTTATAGTACATCGTATCTAGGCATAATTTCTTAAAAATTCTATTTTGTTATTTTCCATAGCAGTTACGCCCTCTAGTGGTTGTTTATGTATGGTCGGATATGTAGAGACAAACTTGAAAATAATTTCCAGCAATTTCTTATGGTCTCTTTAGTTATAAATATTATTTTCCGCAAGCCGTACGACTAATACTTTCCAAGATACAGCCAAGAGCAATTGTTAGTGGGACACCCTGTACATATGTGATAATGTATACTAATACGAGCGCTAACAACTAAATGTTGGGACAAACAAAATTTTTTTGAAAATTTTGATTTACATAAACTGAATTATTAAATTTAAGAACTACATTAACAATACATTAAAATGTGTCATTTCTAATGAGTATTTAAATATATAGTTTGGTTTCTATAAACATTAAAATAAACTGTGACAAGTAAATGTTCGGACATTTTAAGAAAAAACTATTTTAATATGGCGTTATATCGATCTGCGTTTTTAGAACCGCTGCAATCCTGTCTGGCATTATTTTTATTAATGAGTGACATAAGCCAATTTCAGAATTTTGGAATAATTCATCTAATATCATCGTCAAATGGGCAACGGTTTATTGGAAATTATCACCCATTTTTGTTTCATTTTATACCACAACGCCTCGTTAACATTGAGGTTCGGACTATTCGAAGGCCATTAAGGGACCTTAATGTTATTGTCCCTAAACCATTTTTTAATAGTTTTAGCCATATAACATAGAGCAGCGTCCTGTTGAAATATAAAATGCATGTCCTGGTAAAGATCTCTCGCACTTGGCACAAGATTTTTCAAAATTTCTTGATTTTTTTACTCAGTTAATTATTGTACCACCTCATACCTTCCTAGACCCATTGTGGACAAACACACTCAATTCATACTGCCTCTAGGAAATTGCACTGTACTTTTGAGGCACTCTTTATCAAATACACACTTTAGCGATGTTTGATTATTTTTATTTTATTGATATTAAAATGGCTCATGGGCACTTGCAATTGCAATTTATGATTGAAATTATCTGTTGATAAAGATTGCTTCAAAAGGATAGTGAAATTTCCTAAAAGCATTTTGTTTTTTTATGGCGTGTGTCCGCAATGGGTCTAAGAGTGTATGAGGTGTTAGGAGGCACCATTAATGCTTCAAAATATCAAGGAATTTTGAAAAACACTTTTGTGCCAAGTGTGGTAGACATTTACCAGAACATGAATTTTATATTTAAACAAGATGGTAGTACATGCCATACGGTTAAAACCAAAGATATTTAAACTCGGGAGATACAATGATCCATTCATAAAACGCTCTAAAGCTTCATCACACATTGGTTTGCGAAAATCAACGAGTGCAAGAGAGAATGGATAGAGAAGGAAATAGGGATATCTGCTCGATGGCAACAATGTAGTTGTGTACAAAGATTAGACGTTTGAGGTCAATTTCCAGTGGCGTGCCGATCGACCGACAGTATTTTAAGGAAATTAAAATAATTGTTTAATAAATTAAAATAAAATAATAATAAAACTTACATCTTACATATTTGTCGCATTGTAAAAAAAATAAGTTGAGGGAGGATAGCGAAATAAAATAAAAACCGGCATAATTTTTTATTATAAGATGGCTTTTCACATAAGAATAACGATTAAAAATTAATAAGCGTTTTTTACTTTATTTTATTAAATAAAATATCAAATTTTAGGTGTATTAGTAAATGCAGTTTCAATATCTTGTTTCAAACCTTGTTCGTCTCCGGCGAATGAGATTCCCTCTATTAGAATAACAAAATAAAATAGTTATTTTAACCTAATAACACAATATTTTATATATAAAATAATACAAACTTTATTATTATATACCTATATGAATTTTACAACTACAATAAAAAACAGTGAATAAAATTTAAAATGTGCCTTATAATTTTTATTAGTTCACAATTGTTCATTAATGAGGGAATAAGAAGTAAGAAAATTCAACATTTATTTAACTTAACTTTCATTTTAGGGATGTTTCAAACACAGTAAATCAGAACTGAAAATATAAAATGTATATTATACCGTATGATCGAATAAAAACGGCGTCAGCGATGGCTATGAAATGAATATCGCTATCATTTTATACGTAAATTTATATAGGAAATGCCATCGATCGTCATTTCCAAGCCAACTGGACGCCGTTTTTATTCGGTCATACGGTATGTGTATATCTAAGCAAAATTATTTGATATAATACACAGTCATCAGAAAAGTCTAGCGATAATTTTACAAAATCATAAATAAAATAAAATGGTGATTGTTTAGTAAACGGTTCTTAGTTTAAAAAAAAATATTTAGTTTTTTTTCTCTTGTTTGCAAAAGAAAATTCATATTGTTTATAAATAATAAAAAGTGCATATGCAAAGAATTTCAATACAATAAAATGTAAGAAAGTCATAAAATTCATGTAATAAGAACATTAATTATATGTACGTCAAAAGATGTCCATTTACATTATAGCAACCAGAATTTAAAACAAAAGCCGTATAAAATTGTAACGGCAACAAAAAAAGTAAGGCCGCAAAATTCCATCTTTGGTACACCCCAATAAAATTTTCACAAAAGGTAGGTAATGTTTTGTCAAACCCAAGTAGGTACCTAGATTAGATTTATTCTTATAAGAAAGTACGGTTTTTCGAAAATAGATGTTGTTTATAAATTACAGGCGGTTTATAGAACTTTAATTTAATTTTTAACATTCAATGGCCTTTCTTAAAAGGGGAACAGAAATTGTTATTAACTTATTGGTAATTAGTATGTACCATGTATCTTTTTCCTACAAATAATTTAATTAATATATAATTTAAAAAACATAATAAATATATGATTTAAAAAGTAAACCTAAAAATATAATTTAGAGATCTGCTATTTTTTATGTCTAGGTACGCCTCTGATCTACAGAGAATAGGATATAGTAATATACCTAACCCTACTTATTTCTATTTACCGGTGAAAAGTTAAATATGGATTTAAATGATACACTCTCTTGTACACAATATATGAATGCACCATATTTTCAAATTAATGTCCACAGAAGTCCACAAAATAACGCAAAAATACTATAATACTGCAAATAAAGAATATGGAGCTTGATCGGCGGCATAGCAACATCGCAAAAGGAGAATCTAGGATTTTCCATTCATCCTCGAAATACGTTGTACTACGCCGGCATATTTCTAAAACTGACATTGCCAAACTGCTTTTTATTAAAAGAAACACGACCATGATATTTTTATTCCATTATAAAATTAAAAATAATAAAGCAGTTAAGCATTAAATGAAAAATTCACGTTAGCAAATTAATGTAGTTGATATATTACAAAAATATAACGAAATTATTTATTACTTAATAATTGGTTGTGGTATTTAATCGAATACTAATACCAATATACATGTATAATAATTATAGCTCCCGTGTATAGCGTTTAACGCCTTGGGAGTAGCAAGGTACAGCTTGCCATACTAGAGCCGTTCGGTATTCAAGGAAGGTAATGTGGCTAGCATTACGCTTCAACCGCCTATTATTACCTCAGGATTGTGAATCCCAAGTACTCATTTAAGGCTGAGTCGACCTAGGTACCCAAGCTATTTTTATTTTAATAAGAATAGTCGGCTGATGAAATGCCGGGTGTGGGATTGTATATACAGGTAAATCTGGTAAATCAATATACCCAATATTGATTTACCAACATACAGTACCAATATTGTACCAATACAATTACCAATATTGATTTACCAGGTATACAGTACCAATATACAGGTAAATCTGGCAAATATGTTTTCGGTGTAAAAGAGATGGTTAAATAAGGATAGAATTAGGATTGATGAAGGAGAAAGGTAAACAATTGTATCTCTTGAGTTTAAATATCTTTGGTTAAAACTATTAAAAAGTGGTTTAGAGAAAATTACATCAAGGTCCTCTCATGGCCTTCAAACAGTCTGGATCTTAATGTTATCGAAACCTTGTGGCATAAAATGAAATTGCTTGATGATCCCCAACGAACCAAAAAACTTTTGAACCAACGAAAATTTTTACTCTGACGTATGTCAATCTTTAATAAAAACAATTCCAGACAGGCTTGGACTGGTTGTAAACGAGCATGCTGATGTAACGACATATTATTTATTATGTAGCAATAATTATTTCTTAAAGTGTGCGAACATTTAGTTGTCACGATATTGTGTAATGTTTTTGTTTATTTATTCGCCTACAGTTTATTTTAACGTTTATAGGAACCAAATTATTGAAATACTCATTAGAAATGATAAATTTTAATATATTTTTAAATTATGTAAATTATAGTTTTCAATAAATTTTTGTTTGTCCGAATATTTAGTTGTTAGGGCTCGTATATGCTGATAATTTAATTGCTTTTTAGGTGTTAGTTTGTTTGAACGAATGGTTAACAATAACATTCAGTGTTACACTTTAAATGTCCAGCATCGTATGAAACCGGAAATATCAAGTCTTATTAAACCAACTATTTATAAAGATTTGGAAGATCATGAATCTACCTTACAAAGAGATCCTATTTTGGGTAATTTCTGTGTGTTTTGTCAGGGATATAAAATGATCGTATAATTTTGCAGGAGTCGAAAAATGCTTATATTTTATTAATCATGATAAACCTGAAAGTGAATGTCAAGATCAAAGTAAGAAGAATACTCACGAAGCAACATTTTTAATTGCACTAGCGCGACATTTAATATTAAATGGTTACGAACCAGAACAAATAACAATCTTAGCAGCTTACCTTGGGCAAATGTTTGATATGTTGAACGAAATAGAAAAACCGCATAATGCGATGTTCCTAAAAAATGTTAGAGTTGCTGTTTTAGATAATTACCAAGGTGAGCAAAAACGATTTACCTCCTGATAAATGTACTGTATCATTCAAAAAGTATTCCTCAAGCCAAACCATATCGTTGCGCTAAAACCTGTAATAGTGGAGTGCTTTAAGCCCTTATGGGATACAAACAAAGACATTATAAAGATAGACCGAACATTTCATTCATAAATACTCGTTGGTAGTGTATCAAACATTCCAATGTGTCAAACAAGGACAGAAGAGACAGAGAAGTCTAAAATTTCCGACCCCGGCAACTAGGCGCATTTGGATTATTCTAATAGCCAGTGGCGTATCGTTTTTTGGAACGAATTTAATTAGTAAAGTAAAAGTAAAGTAATTAGTAAAATTTTTACTCCATATTAATATACTACATTAACACTTTTTCGTTAGATGAGTTTTGTTATAAGGTCTAATATAATAATTTAATTAATATCCCACATATATTTATGTTGAAACGTTAGTAGGTAGTTTTCGAAAATCGCTCCAACGTCGATATTCAATTTAAACTTTCAGTTACTTCTATATAAACACTCAGTTACTTTTGAGTACTTACAGGGTGACTCAGGCTTCGAAACAGTTCTATATTAGATTTGTGGTTAGTGACTTTTCTTTCAATTTTTTTTTTTAGAATATGGAGGCAATGGTAAAGCACGTTTTAGACATTTTTGTAATCATAGGTGGCCGGAACATATTTTCAAACTAAAGTTGTAGATTTGCCATTAAATTCCCATTCCAGAAATACCTAGGGTTGCCACCTTTTTTTTGAAAAGGACAGTCCTTTTTTGGAATAACTTGTCCTTTTGACTTTTTTGACTTAAAAAGTCATTTTATTTACGTATTTTCCCTGAGAGAGGAAGAGAACTTAGAACTTCCCGTTTAATCTCTGAGAAAATTACCTACAGCAAACAAAAATATTCTTTTCGTCCAAAACTTATAAATAAATTTTTCTTGTTTAGAATAGGCAACATTATTTAGAATTTTTCGTTTAATCTCAAATGATAGTTTAGGTTTTAGTTTTACCTTTTTTGATCTTAAAAAGAACTTTTCAAAATTAGTAATTAGTAACGATTTAGTTAGTTACTAATTAGTTACGCAATCGATAGCTTCCTGTGAAGTACTGTGTAATAGTTGTTTAATCTTGTATTATTAATAACTTCCTATAATTAAAATCAATATTTATTTTAATCCTTTTAGTCTCTGAATAAAGGGCATTTATCATTAAAAATATCAAATCTGTGTGCTACAGTATGGGATTTATGTCGCATAATAATGAATATTACGTTTATTTACAAATCCATTACTTAGGTAGCTTAATCAGACAATCAAATTTTAGTTAAACGTCCCAATCTTCATGAACTGTATTAAGCATATGTATTGCGGTTTGAATCACCCTGTATGTTGACAAAAATATTTAGAAAATGTGCGTTACAATGGCCCCGATCTTATGTAAAGATTGAAATAAAAATCACAAACCAAAAACGTAATAGGTAAAAAGCTTTTTGGAGGCCTGGGTCACTCTGTATATAGGTATGTATAAAACTAGTAGCCTAAGAATTATTTATAGTTCGTCCCATTCTAAAAAAAGGTAAACACTATACAAATAACTCTAGGAAGAGGTATTTGTATTGTACGGTGGTAAAAACTTGTCTAAACAAGACCGAAGGGGCAGATATAAGATACAATTAAGCAATAAAATGTAAAAAAGGTCGGGTAAAAACCTTTGTTTATTAGTTGAGCAAAATTCCTTTAGAATATCGTATACAATGACCAAAATATGACGCAATTTAAAAAAAATGTCACTTTCTGGCATATAATAAAGTTTCAAATGCAACGTTTATATTCAAATTTGTTATGATCTACAACAGTTAGGTAGTAATTGAGACGAATTATAATTCAATTACCGGCTACTACGTTCTTGTTTTAATAGATCAAAATTCAACAAATATAATTAGAAATTATTTTAATTTTAAGAGGCTCCCTTGTGGGACGCCTATGTACGATTACGGCGGAAACAATACCTACCTGTGAAAAGACAAATTCGGGTAATTTGAGCACACATTTGACACTGTCCTACCATATTCAAAATTCGCAGATTCAAAGGTACGTTAAACAAAAACAAAAACTACTGAAAACCACTGAAAAGTTCATTTCGGCCTTGATTCCGACTTCAAACACACCGTAAGCTAAACGTAGTACGCTATAACAGACCATTGGCCGTCGCGAGGGGTGGTGGGACGGACGGCTCATTTCATTCTGGAAGACTAGCAGCGACGTTGCCAATAGTTCTAGACGTTTCGGCACATTAAACAGTAAACATGTCCTTTAATAGTAACGCGTATATCCTCTGGTTAATAACATATTATTACGCATGCTTCTTTAAAAATAAACTATTAATTTAATTAAGAAATTGAGATTTATTGATATCCGGTGAAGGTTTTAAAGTCACCTTTTCTGCAAATCAAACTAAGTAGATAGGCGCAAATTTGAGATGTGGCAATGTCGCCTTCTCTATCTCAGTTGGTTTTTACAGTACGTAGTCAACCTCCGATTGTTTGATCGGGTTAAAATGCACAATGTGATATCTGTTCTTACTAAATCTATGGATACAAACCTCGGAATTCATTTGCTGTGAATGATTTTTTAAAAAACTTTTTGCGTTGTATTGTTAATAAAATATATTACAAAGTTTACCCATTTAAATTCGTTGCTTTCACTTTACTATTTAAATAAACACACATATATAAATGCATACATACAAAATGGATCCGTGTTTCGAAAAAGATCTGTATCAGGATTCCTATTTGACATTTTCACTCCAAACCTTTTTCAAAATATTAATGGTACTTCACATTTCAAAAATATTTTTATATATATTCAGGGTGAGTAAAATATATTTTTACACGTAAGTTTTAGTTTTTCAAATAAAATGCTTTATATTTCAGTGAATTTGCTATAAACTTCCGGTTCCAAAAATACCTTAATATCATAAGTATACAGAGTGGTTTTTGAATTGTGACCACGTCCATGAGGACGTCAATCTAGACCTCCAGGAACCTTCGTATGTGAATTTCTAATCGAGACGATCGACTTATTGTAAGTTTATCGCTAAGAAACCGCCGTTTGCCAGCTTTTCAAATTTATAATGAATTGTACGTAAGGAACGTACATATTAACTACCGGACTATAAGAAGAAGACTAAATAAAGCAAATCTTATGTCAAGAAGGTCTGCCTAACCTAACTTACTAGACCTGTTGACTAGGACCAAAAGCAAAGACATGGTCTTAATGTAAAAATTACGAAATGTTAGTGTCTTCTTCAAAAGCGAATATCTCTAACAAAAATAAAGCTAATGAGGTGAACCAAAAACAAACTATCGAGAAAGTATGTATCTAGATGATAAAATGAGTTTTAATTTCTTTCGGTTTTACCATACTCCACAGGGTCTTTCAAACTTTCGCCAAAATATCAACATTTTGTTTTCCCTCGTATAATTAACAGATGGGGAGTTTCATTTTTAATTTAGAACAAGATACTAAAAAGTCAAATAATTTGGCTACACACTGCTTAAAAAATCATCAAAATCGGCCCATTAAAACAAAATATATTATATTTTAAAATACATCAAAGTTTTAAGGTGCCCATTTTTCGTCCGGTGAATGTATTTCAAAAACTATTATATTTCTTGCTGTTGTAACATATTCCACAGGGTGTTTCAAACTTTCACCAAAATATCAACATTTTGTTTTCCCTTGTATAATTAACAGATGGGAGTTTCATTTTTAATTTAGAAAGAGATACTAAAAAGTCAAGTGATTTGGCTACATGCTGCTTAAAAAATCATCAAAATTGGCCCACTGGAACAAAATATATTAAACTTTAAAATACATCAAAGTTTTAAGGTGCCCATTTTTCCTCTTGCTGTCGGTGAATGTATTTCAAAAACTATACATTTTAGTGATATACTTTTCTAATGAAACTCGTCTTTATTTTTTACTAGAATCCGAAAATCAGTTAATATATAGAGTGTTCCATTGCAAAAAAAAACAACTTTGATATGCAATCATATTTTTTGGGGACAGCCTGTAGAACTCTATATAATTTTAAAAAATGCTTTAAATCTACTTACATAAATAAGCTTACAAAATTTCACTTCAATACAAACTTCTAGTTTTCTTTGCAAAAACCGCGTCATATATGACGCGCCACCCTGTATAATTCGATTTCAATCAAAATTTCAATGATTAGAATATAAGCAGAATAGGTATAGCTTATGCATTAGATTTATTTGTTTCAATAAATTTACTAAAAGAAAATTTAAAAAATCAAAAAATTAAGAAGGAAATAACTAAGAATTTGCTAAAATTACTAAAATAAAAAAACAAAAGCAACGAAATAAAATGGGTAAACAATTTAGTATTTTATCTATAAAACACAATGCAGAAGGTATCACAATAATACATTCACACTAATTGAATTCCGAGGTAGAAGTCTCTGGGCACTCCACTATAAACTTATTTACTTGATCATTATAAGCTTCCTTATATCTAACTATCTTTTGAAACTTGAAAGGTCAACGTCATACATTTTTGACATTGGAATTCCTAATTCATAAGATTGTCATAATAAGAAACTTAGTAGAAACGATCTTTTAACAGTCTAAAAACTTTGTTCATTCCATTTTTACCACTGGAAATGTTATCCAATACCGTCTCAACAGCCCATACCACTCTCTTTCACCAGAGAACCAATAGGTCCTAGAGCTTTTAACGTTGTTTTTGAACAAGTTTCGATTTCAAACCAGTTAAAAATCTTTAGGTGATGCCCTCTATAAGTAGGGGTCATATTGACATCAAAATCAAATTTATCATGTCAAAAAACTCCCAGACACCAACTTTCATCCAAATATTGACATTACTTCTTCTCATTTTTATTTCGATTTTTTCGAAATCATTTCTTCATCCTCTTCGTCTATGTTTCTTGTAAGTTCAGCATAGCTTAGATTGTTTCCTCAAGTCACCGAATGTTCTAAGAGTTTTATTATTTAGATTTAGAATAATAAAGGCATTATTACAAAATTATATTTTAGTGATACAATTATTTATATTTTACGCTTATTTTATAAAATTGATATTAATATTAGGTGAAGAATGTGACATAATACTTCTCTCGTTGGTAAGAAGCAATGAAGAAAATAAAGCAGGTTTTTTAAAAATTCAAAATCGAGTTTGTGTAGCTCTGTCTAGAGCAAGAAATGGACTATACATTATAGGAAATATGAACTTATTTTTAAATTCTAACAGTCAAAACCAGGTAAGCTTACAAAATAATTAATAGCTCTTTATATTTTTTGATGTGAGTTAGCAATTGGCACTCGTTACCTATCCTCCGCTACTGAAGTTTCCTTCTTTTTGCGCCCCCTTCTAGGCATTAATGAGAAACTATTTGCACACCTTTTTAGATTTTTTAAATTTATTATTTATGCTTTTGTGAAATAATTTAGAAAGATTACATGAAATTTTTTATCTTGTGAATAGTAACTGAATTTGCGGCTGATAACTTAATCTATTAAAAATACGCAAAAAATCCACCTCCTCCTCACAATGCCACCCGGGCTTCCCTGGCCCAGTCCGACCCAGAATTTCACTGATATTAGGCTAATAAGCGAGGGTTTTAGAGTCCGAATTCTGAACAGCTACACCGATTGACGTGAAATTTTAACAGTGAATAGAGATATATGTAAGAAACAAAAGTTACATAGTAGCGATTCATGTGCTTTCACCCTGGGGGTGAGTGCCGCCCCTTCTCGGGGGTGAAAAATAACTCACCCATTTTAATTGCAAAAATCAATAAAGGGGCGAATTCTAAGCAAAGAATGTTCTATAACATTTTTTTAGAAAATTAATATTTTCCTAGTTATTTAGGATTGACAATGTTGATTTTTCATCTAAAAACTGCATATTTTTCTGCCATTTTTTATAAATAACTCGAAAACCTTGCGTTTTTTTTTCGCAAAACCCATATAATATATCTAAATACATATAACTAAACGATTCATTGCTGATTACCGTAGGTATAATAAAAGCTTAGTTATCACTCTGTAAAGTTGATTTTTTATTTTTCGAAAACTAAATTGCAGCCCTTTACCGTAAAATAGTGAAGAGCACATTTTTCGAAGAAAATGAATATGACCGTCTATAAAGTGATTTCACGAGCTACAAATTAACCTCTATAGTTGAACAGTCTTCAACTCTTCATTTTTACGAGATTTTTGGGTTCTAAGCGCTCAAAGAAGGTTGTCCTTACACGTAAGTCAAACTAAAAAAAAGTAATATCTACGAAATAAAGAGATCTACAGAAAAATTGAGAGAGCAAAAATATTGCAAAAAAAGACCTTGAATTTTTTACGTATCTTGCTTAGTTTTTGAGTTGTCAAAAAAATTTAAATTTTTTAAAAAATAAAGAAAATCAATATTTTCAACTTTTTTCCAAATTTGGGCATTCTAAACCGCTCGAATTTGCAGAGCTCATTGTTAGTACCTAAATATAGCCAACTGTACATATATTACCCTTAGTTTTTATTTTTATGTTTTTAGTCATAGATTTTGTTAATTTTTTTTTCGAAAAAATGAGGTGACTATTTTTACCAATCATAACTCCGCGAGTTTTTGAGCTACGAACTTGAAAAGACTTTTTAAAAAAGCATTTGAAAGGTCTTTTCAAGCACTTGTGTTCTTTCGCCATTATTTTACGGTAAAAGGTTGCATTTTTTTTAGTTTTCGAAAAATAAAAAAATCACCTTTACAGAGTGATAACTTGACTGTTATTACACCTACGGTAATCAGAGATTGCTTAGAATTCGCTTTATTGATTTTTGCAATTAAAATGGGTGATTTATTTTTCACCTCCGAGAAGGGGTGGCACTTACCCCCACGGTAAAAGCACACATCGCTACTATGTAACTTTTGTTTCTTACATATATCTTCATTCACTGTTAAAATTTCAGGTCAATCGGTGCGGGTGTCAAGAATTCAGAGGTATAATACTCTATTTTTATCCTCGCTTACTGGCCTATGTATGTATTCTAAACTATCATAAAAATATAAACAATTTTATAAATGTTTCAGGATGGCTACAACGACGTCCCGTAATCCTGCTGTTAAAACATAACAACTGGTTTTTATAGATAAAGTCCAATTGTTTTGTTTTAACAGCAGGATTACGGGACGTCGTTGTAGCCACCCTTAGTGGTTTAAAATGTTAACTAAACATGTATTTTTTATTTTTTAAGATTTGGGGTAAAGTAAATGAGGCCCTTCAAAGTCAAAATGCTATAGGCGATTCACTAACTTTGCAATGCCAAATACATCCTCACAATTTTACCCAAGTTAGATCGGCGGAAGACTTTGAAATAATTTCTGAAGGTGGATGCAGTCTCCCGTGTAATACTTTGTTGGCTTGTGAGCATTATTGTAAACGGACATGCCATGTGGGAGATCGGGACCATGCTCAGTTCCAATGTAATGACCCTTGCCGCCTGTAAGTTATAGTTAAAATAGAGCATAATAGATTTAATTTTACGTTAACGTCACTTAATTTCATAGATAAAGGAAACAAGTTTAGATTGGAACGCTCGGTTTGCCGCCAAAACATATAATTGTTTTGGGGTTCCGACGTTCGTTGTACGGGATTTGGCGCTGCTATAGCGGTTGCTAAATAAGCACAACGATCCGCCTGAATTGCGTAGTACAGGGTGCATCTCACTCGACGGGCGAGAAGTTCTTAGTTATGATTTTACCATTTGCGGTCAAAAAATAGCAATATAAGAAAATGTGTAGTATATTCTTCATAAGTAAACCAACTACACACTAGAGTTCGAATTAATTTTACACTGAAACTAGTGTGTACCCGCGACTTCGTTCGCGTCGAATTAATAATTTGTAATGGTGATGATAAAGCAAAGCAAGAATTTTCATTAACATACAAACTTGATCAAATTTTCTCACATTTGCCAAAAATAAGCTGAGAGCAGTTTAACGTCGAGCTAACGTCGAGCAGTTTAAGCAGAATCGCGGTTAATCAATTACTCAACTTTTTGGAACACCCTGTATGATTTTTTAAAAAAATTTCAAAATATGTAAAAAAACAAAATAAATTATGCGTGTCCAAGCGTTTTCCCGAAAGACTAACCGTTTTTTAAATAACAAATATTGTAATATTTGAGGGGCGTTTTCACCCTCTTGGAATTTGAGATTCGAGAAACCCCTCCCTCTCTTATCGAACCTCAACCCCACAGTCAATCCGTTTGCCAAAAATCAGCTTTAAACGTCAAGCAGTTTAAGCAAAATCGTGATTACTCAATGATCATATTTTATGAAACACCCTGTATATATTTTTAAAAAATCTTAAAATATGTAAAACAACAAAATAAAATATGCGTGTTTAAGAGTTTTTCCGAAAAACTCACCGGCTTTTAAATAAAAAATATTCTAATATTTGAGGGTGGTTTCACCCCCTTAGAATTCGTGTTTCGAAAAATCCCTTCTTATCGAACCTCTACACCCTAAAGTCAATCCGTTTTCCAAAAATCAGCTTTTTACGTCAAGGGCTTTAAGCAGGATCGTGATTAATCAATGACCAAATTTTTCAAAACACCCTGTATACATTTTTAAAAAATCTTAAAATATTATTCTGAAAATTTTTCAGAATAAATAAATACCTAAATATTGAAACTTAATAAGTAAGTACTGAAACATACAGCGCCATAATATCTCGACCTCCGCCCGTTATGCTCGTAACAGGTTGAAAAACAATGTATCTAAAACAACTGATGCGTTATTCTCCAACCCGTTGCGAGCCTCCATCGACAATCGACCGATGCAGCAGCGTTACTTTCCCACTCCGATTATCTCGACCGCCAGGCGTTATGCCCGCAACTGTTTCAAAAAAGCTGCTTCTTTTATATCCTATTATTTTTAAGCTGTTGCAAGCCCCACACGACCATCGACCGATGCAGCTACGTTCGCCGCGCCGCGCCGGTAGCGCATTCCCCACTCCGTTGTCCGTTGTATCTCGCCGCCTTTATCGATGGTTGTCGAAATAACATGTTTTCCATCCATAATCCATACTTGTTGTTTTTTGGAATTGCTTCGAGCAGCATCGAATTTCGTGGCGGTGCCGAGCGCCGACTTCGTTTCACGAACGGTCGATCTCTGCGTATCGCTATTTTATCTGTTATTTTTTAAAAGTAGTAACGGTTGCGTTATGCTATTTCTAAATATTTGTTATAAAATAACATATAGTTAAATAACAACCCATCACTATTTCATACATGCCCTTATATAAAATAAAGTTTCTTATATACAACACACTGTATTTTATTAAAAAAATTAAAAGAAAATAATAAATTTGAATAAATATTTGGCGACATAATTCCGGAAAAAGCCGAACCGCTCCGAAATTATCAAAAGCTTTGAAGAGCGACCGTTGTAAGAATAGCGCCAAATAGTATTTACATTGTTCTTATGGGCACTTTCCAATCTAAACTTGTTTCCTTTTTCTATGATTTGACGTTCTTCATATTCTAGATTATTATGTGATAATTCTGAACACACCTGCAAGAAAAGGTGTTATGAAGATTGCGGACCTTGTCATTATCCAGTAGAGCGTCATTTGAATTGTGGTCACTCAGTTACAATTGCATGTCATATTAACCCAGATACTTATAAGTGTCCTGAATTAGTACCTACGAAGCTTCCATGTAATCACGAAACAGATAAACCATGCTCATCAGATCCGATAACGTTTCCTTGTCCTTATCCATGCAATATAAGAGTAGACTCATGTGGACATACATGTCAGAGGAACTGTCATATCAGAAAGGATCCAGATCATTTGAAGGTCAGGTTTATAACCAGTTAGGTACATATACAGGGTGTCTCGGAAATAAGTGCAAGTATTTTAACTGGTAGTATATTTCGATCCTAGAAAAACGCCTACGAGGTTTTTTTGCGAAAAAAAAATTGTTCAAAATTTAAAATTTTTCTTGACATTTTCCGGGAAATTTTAAAAAACTTTTTAGTGTCACTTGTTTATTTACCTGAGAAAATCTTGCACTGTTGCAAACTCCTATGTTATCCACATTAGGATATTATTAGGTTATTCTACATAGTTCTATATTTATAAATTGACAGACAAATTTCTACACAAAAAATTAGGAATGTTAAATTTAATCTTCTATCAGTGCTCATAAATACTAATAATTCTAGAAAAAAAAACACATTAATTATTTTTAGTACTTACCCTTTCAATGAACACTTAACAAAAACCACCGAATATTAACTAAAACATTACATATTATTTTGGAATAAATTTAATAAAATGATTCATCATATTATTCACAATCAGGTCACGAAATAGAAATTTCTAAAATGTTTATCATAATTCAGAATTCAATATATCGAAAACAGCCCGACGAATAATCACTTCATTTTTGTTTTGTTTGTTTTCTTTCATGTTTCTCTGTTTTATTTTTAAAATTTAATATGAATTTGATTGTTTCGAATGTCTTGAATTTGAAATTGTTGTAACCACGGCAACGTCGCTTAATATCGTTGCATGACGCAAACTCGCCACGGCGGCGCGGCGCATGAAAAAACCAGTTGACACGCGGCACTCTTGGCGGACTGTTGGGCTGTCGATGGCATGATCGAAATACATCGAAAAAATAGCAAAAAAACAAAATACGTATTTAAAATTGTTGAGTGAAACATGTAATTTCTTAGATTGAAAGTAGTTCATAAAGCGGCGATAAGAACTGTCACAGTTACATCGATCTGTCATAAGTATATTTTTTTTAATGTTGGGTAAGTTTTTTTTTAATTTTATTTCTGCAATATCTGCCAAACTCCTCAGATGGTGTGATTTTATGACTCTTTTAAGCATATTAGTCTTTCTTGTCCATATGGCAACACAGGGCGTCGAATTACCTGAGATCCGGGCTTGATCCGGGTAATTGGATGTAGTTGGCGATATCCGCCGGCGATTCTCAAAATGTTGCTATCATTTTTTTTTATCGTTAAATAACTCGGTTATTTTCAATTTATTTTAAAAATGGCAAAGAGAAAATATGTTTTTTTTACCAGATCTACCACCCCTTAAAATATTTGCACTTATTTCTGGGACATCCTGTATATTTCTCCAAAAGATCCTATACAGGGTGAGTCTTAAATAAGTGCAAATATTTTCAGGGCTGGTAGATCTCGATAAAAGAAACATATTTTCTCTTTACCATTTTTCAGATAAGTCCAAAATAACCGAATTATATAAGTTTGAAAATTAAAAAAAATGATTTTTTTTTAATTTTGAGAGCCGCCGGATTTTTTCTGTATTTGTATCCCTTTTATTGCCGTAACCATAGAGTAAAGCCGTAACTATGGTAATATCAGAGATTAAGAAATTATACCGTGGGAAAATTTGCGGTGAACAGGCAATTCTAAAAAGTTTTCGAGAAATATACAGGGAAATTTAAAAGAGAATGCACGATTTTCAACATCTTTTTTAGCGAAAAAAAACTTCAGACGTGTTCCTGTGGTCGAAATTATATACCACCCCTGAAAATATTTGCACTTATTTAAGACTCACCCTGTATACATGGTTGTTTATCACATACGACACGGAGTATTGTAGCTGAACGATTAGATTTTTACAAATTGTAAGTTTTGGGTTCGTTGAAGGACTATTAGAGCTACAATTTAAAAATATTTTTACAAGATACAGAGTGTCCCAAATAAATAAAAAATATCAAAGTTGTATTTTTTTAAATGGAACACCCTGTATATTATTACATTTTTAGTTTCTATGATTAAAATGAAGGAAAATTTGATTAAGGTTTTTCACCCTTAAACCTGACGGTTTTTGAAATATTTGTGAAATTGTAGTAAAAATTTTAAGGCTTCATTTCTCCAAGGGTATCAAAGTTATTAATACTAAATATTTACTGAAGTTTAATTATTGATCAGTTATTATGTTGCAATAACAAAAATAATACTACCTCATACAGAGTGTCTAAAAATTAAATTTAAATAATTTCTAGCTTTAAACGGCAATAACTTGTTTAATTTAAATGGAACACTCTGTATATTTGAGGAGAATCAGATGCACAATTTAATTGTCCATCAAATTCAAGTTTTCGTAGAAAATGCTTTTTCTTATAATTTAGACCTCGTTATTAATATATATATACCCATGGAATTTTGACATTTTAGATTGTTTTTAAAGCAACAAATATACAGGTGCTAAAAACGATGTTATCAGTCTATTTGTATACAAAAATAAAACTATTTAAATATGCATAAAAGAGTGTACCATAATTAAATATACCACCATTATTTCCGCCCAAATACTAATTAATTACATATTTAACCTGTGTTAGTTAATAAATTATTCTAAATAAATGTGGATTTGGAATCAGAAATCAATATAATAATAAGTTATGAAAATGAACGTCTCTGTTGTTATAAATAAGCATCCGTCAAAAAATGAAATAAAATTTTTAATGTGTTATTTTTACCACACTGTTTAATATACATACAAAATTAAGTTTTTTAGTATTTGAAGCAATTATTATTAATCAACGCAAACAGTCAATTAATGTAGTTTGAATACTGGAATCATATTAATTGGTCCTCTTTTACAAATACTTAGACAATTTTTTTATTTTTTAATGACATAAACAAACTATATCGACAATATTAATATCTGTAACCTTTAAAAATTTGTTAGATCTTTAAAAATAATCAAAAATGTCAACATTCCGTGGGTATATTGATAATTGTGGTCTAAATTATAAGAAAATGCATTTTCTACGAAAACCTGAAGTCATAGGTACAAAATGGTATATAGTTTGATAGACAATTAAATTGTGAATCTAGCTAGTTATTATTTAAAATACATTTTTAGACACTCTGTATAAGGTAGTATAATTTTTATTATTGCAACACAAAATTTAGTAAATAGAAATACTTCAGTACAATATTTGGTTTTAAAAACTTAAATACGCCTGGAGAAATAAAGCCTTAAAATTATTACTGTATTTTGACAAGAACCTAAATATTTCAAAAACGGTAAGATTAAAATGCGGTAAACCTTAATCAAATTTACCTTTATTTTAATCGTAGAAACTAAAAACGTAATAATATACAGGGTGTTCCGTTTAAAAAAATACTACTTTGATATTTTTTATTTATTTGGGCCACTCTGTATCCTGTAAAAATATTTTTAAATTGTAGCTCTAATAGTCCGTCAACGAACCTAAAACTTACAATTTGCAAAAATCTAAGAGTTTAGCTACAATACTCCGCGTCGTATGTGGCGAACAACCCTGTATATGATATATATATATATATATATATATATATATATATATATATATATATATATATATATATATATATATATATATATATATATATATATATATATATATATATATATATATATATATATATATATATATATATATATGTATATATATATATATATATATATATATATATATATATATATATATATATATATATATATATATATATATATAAACTAAGAAGAAAATTCTTGGGGATAGCGGTCTAGAGGCAAAAAAATTATTTAATTAAACAATTAAATTAAAATATTTAAAAATTAATTTATTATTTATTTTTATTTATAAATATATATATATATATATATATATATATATATATATATATATATATATATATATATATATATATATATATATATATATATATATATATATATATATATATATATATATATATATATATATACAAAGAGGAAGTCTTGACCGATCAATTATAACCAAAACTAAGAAGAAAATTCTTGGGGATAGCGGTCTAGAGGCAAAAAATTAAACAATTTATTACAAACGCCGAGCTTTCGGAAAATATATTTCCTTTTTCAAGGCTAAAACATATCACAAAAGTCAACTGAATATAATATAATATTATATAAACTTACGTGTAAAAAGTTTAATTATAAAAATAGAAAAATATATCAATTTCCATATGGAAGAAAGGAACTAAAATTTTGTATAAAAGTTAAAATCTTCTTAAATATTCATGATTTCTGACATTACTAAAAATTATTTTGACATAGAAAGGTAAATTTAATTATTAATAAAAAACACGTAAAAAACATATAAGGTTAATCACAAGTTACAAATAAAAATAAAGAAAAAATCAAATTTTAAATATTATTTTTATTTTTAATAAAATGGAGTAAGAAAGAATATATATTACTAAGATCCTCAATATCTTTTCTTTTATTAATACAATTATCATTAATGTAAATTTCTACCATTTCAAGAAAAAGTCTTTTATTAGTATTAAATTCAGTATCCAAAATTTTTGCATTTTTAAAATCAATATTATGTAGTGTATCAATCACATGTTCTGATAATGCACAACTACGTTTACATAATCTAAAATCACTAATATGTCTATTAATACGTTCTTTAAGAACAGTAGAAGTTTGTCCAATATAAGAAAGATTACAATCAAGACAACTAATATTATAAACAACACCAGATTTATATAAAGGAAGATCTAAATCTTTTAATTTAGTATATAAATTATTAATCTTTAATATATGTTTACCACATATTTTAACCTGTTGAGGAATAGATAAGATCTTTGTTAAATTATTATTTAAGGAATTTACATACGGTAATGAGAAATAATAACCGTTAACATTATTGTTATCAATATTATCACAAAGTTGAACATCATAAGCAAGAACATTATTACTCGAAATAACATTATTATGTAAGTTTTCTCCAAAACTTGATTGATCATTAACCAACAAATTATTATATAAAAATTTCTTTAATAATAATTCAGGATATGAATTTTGTAATAAAATATTATAAATTCTTTTTAAGTTTTTCGACAAAAATTGAGGATGGCAAATTCTTCTAATTCTATTATTTAATCCGACAATTAAATTAATTTTCATTTTTAGTGGATGGTATGAGTTAAAATTCAAATATCTGCCTGAATAAGTAGGTTTTGTATACCAATCTACTAAGATAAAGTTATCAAATGTCCTAATAACTTTTGTATCAAGGAAAGGAACGCTATAATCAGTTTCTGTTTCAATAGTAAATTGTATTTTTTCATGATATGAATTAAAAATATCCATAATGATATCAATCTTATCAAAAGGTACAGATGTAATTATATCATCTACATATTTTTTAAAAAATGGTAATTGAAAATTTAATTTTGGTATACACTCATTTAATAAATCATCCATAACATATTGTGAAATAATTGGAGAAACAGTAGCACCCATTGGTGTACCAAAAATTTGCTTGTAAAATTTTCCTTCAAATTTACAATAAGTTGAATTAAAAATAAATTCAACAATTTCTAAAAAATTATTTTTATTTAATAATGTGTTACTAGAAATATCCAACCAATGCTTCTCAATACTATTCTTAATAAGACAATAAGGAATGTTACTAAATAATGAAACAACATCAAGACTTATCAGAACATAATTTTGAGGAATTCTTTTATTCATAATAAAATCAACAAATTTAAAAGTATCATGAGTAAAATATTCATTATCTTGATTATAAGACAAGGTTAAAACATTAGTAACATATTGAGACCATTTACTATTAGGAGAATTTATTGAAGAAACGATTGGTCTTAAAGGTATATTTTCTTTATGGATTTTAGGTAAACCATAAAATTTTGGAGAACTTTGATTGTAAATAGTTAATTTCTTACAAAATTCAGGAGTTAATTTATTTTTAAATTTAGAAACTAGTTTATTAGCTTTTTGTTGAAAAGTAGAAGTTGGATCTCTATCAAGTACTTTATAATAATTATTGTCAGAAAGAATTTCTAACGATTTTTGACAATATTCTTCCTTAGTTATAATCACTGTAATATTACCTTTATCAGCTTTAGTAACAATCAAATTAGGATTAGATTTAAAAAATTCTTTAGTATCTAAATATAATTTTCTCATAAAATTGTTATTACTAATGGGTTTATGAATATAATTAGTTAAAACATTTGTAACTTGTGATCTCACAATATTTCTTAAATTTTCCGGATTTTCACAATATGTTATGGATGATTTATTAAATGAGTGTATACCAAAATTAAATTTTCAATTACCATTTTTTAAAAAATATGTAGATGATATAATTACATCTGTACCTTTTGATAAGATTGATATCATTATGGATATTTTTAATTCATATCATGAAAAAATACAATTTACTATTGAAACAGAAACTGATTATAGCGTTCCTTTCCTTGATACAAAAGTTATTAGGACATTTGATAACTTTATCTTAGTAGATTGGTATACAAAACCTACTTATTCAGGCAGATATTTGAATTTTAACTCATACCATCCACTAAAAATGAAAATTAATTTAATTGTCGGATTAAATAATAGAATTAGAAGAATTTGCCATCCTCAATTTTTTGTCGAAAAACTTAAAAAGAATTTATAATATTTTATTACAAAATTCATATCCTGAATTATTATTAAAGAAATTTTTATATAATAATTTGTTGGTTAATGATCAATCAAGTTTTGGAGAAAACTTACATAATAATGTTATTTCGAGTAATAATGTTCTTGCTTATGATGTTCAACTTTGTGATAATATTGATAACAATAATGTTAACGGTTATTATTTCTCATTACCGTATGTAAATTCCTTAAATAATAATTTAACAAAGATCTTATCTATTCCTCAACAGGTTAAAATATGTGGTAAATATATATTAAAGATTAATAATTTATATACTAAATTAAAAGATTTAGATCTTCCTTTATATAAATCTGGTGTTGTTTATAATATTAGTTGTCTTGATTAATTAAAGATTACAATTCTTTCTTATATTGGACAAACTTCTACTGTTTTTTTATTGTTTTTTTTTGTTTTTCTACTATTTTTATTTGTAACTTGTGATTAACCTTATATGTTTTTTACGTGTTTTTTATTAATAATTAAATTTACCTTTCTATGTCAAAATAATTTTTAGTAATGTCAGAAATCATGAATATTTAAGAAGATTTTAACTTTTATACAAAATTTTAGTTCCTTTCTTCCATATGGAAATTGATATATTTTTCTATTTTTATAATTAAACTTTTTACACGTAAGTTTATATAATATTATATTATATTCAGTTGACTTTTGTGATATGTTTTAGCCTTGAAAAAGGAAATATATTTTCCGAAAGCTCGGCGTTTGTAATAAATTGTTTAATTTTTTGCCTCTAGACAGCTATCCCCAAGTATATATATATATATATATATATATATATATATATATATATATATATATATATATATATATATATATATATATTTATAAATAATATTTTTCTTGTTTTTTAGCTGTGTATTTTTTTCTAATTTTCGAAAAATCGAAAGTAGAGAAAAAATATGTGTAAAAAGAAAATTGTTTTGCTTATTTGTCGTAAAGGGAGAACAAGCTCCACTCCCACAACCGGTTTCTGGGCCTACCCTTCATCAGGTGGGCTGTCCAGGGGCTGGTTCTCACCGATACGGCAAGCAAAACTCCTTCTATATCAACAGACGATGTCGTAATGTGCCGTATCGGTGAGAACCAGCCCCTGGACAGCCCACCTGATGAAGGGTAGGCCCAGAAACCGGTTGTGGGAGTGGAGCTTGGTTCCCCCCTTTACGACAAGCACAACAATTTTTTTTTTACTTTTTATATTTTTTTTCTCTACTTTCGATTTTTCGAAATTAGAAAAGATACACAGCTAAAGGCAAGAAAATATTATTTATTAATATACACTTATGCTGGAAGAATTTTGTAAGAAGAGTACAATGCGTTTATAATGTACTGAACAAAGAGAGAACAGTAAAAAAGTTGCCAAACGTATGAAATAAACCCAGAAACTGTGCACATTGCTAGAGACGCGGAAGGGGATATTGCATATTCGTCGCGGTCGACCCAATCAGTACTATCTGGTACTATCACTACTATCAGTACTTAAAATTCGGTAAAGAGTGTGCATCATGCGTTCAGCATCACGATTTAATTACGTCTCGTGATACTTTATTTGTTTATTTATTAACGAGTCGAGTAATTTTTCCTATAGCTTGTCAATTTTTGAGTGCAAGTTAGAAACACTTGCACTTATGGTAAAAATAAACGGAATTGAGTTGGTGTTCGACAGTAGTCGCGCTTTAGAACTCTGAATTCAAAAATCGATATCTCGAGATCCATTAGAAATAATTGATTATAGTTTTTTTCAAAAGCTTTCTTAATATTTCTGCTATATTTTCTCCGCCAACAGTATGTGAAAATCTTTATAAATAAAAAAGTTACACGATTTCTGAAAATTGCAATGCACTGAAAGTACATGGATGGGCTTTTTAAAATTTTTGAATGGAAAAAACAAGCCTATCGAATTTTTCTTCTCTATCTTTTAAAAGATCCGAACTTCAAAACAAAAAAAAGTTTCATTATCTAAAGTAGTTCTTGAACTATTGCGTTTTATGTGTTTGAGTTTGTGGTTGAGTTTTTTTAAATTATCGCGATTACTGACGTTTTCTCGTTGTAAAAAATGGACACCCTAAGGATATCCTAATAATTCCATTTCAGATGATCAGAAACATATCTGTTGATTTTATCTAGTTATCTTTCCGAAAAAATGTCTTAAAAATAAGCGGTTTGCGATCGTGATTTTACTTTACATGATAGGGAAAGGCGTCATTTCTCTCTCTCTGAATTAATAAGATCCCTATGCGATTTACTTCCACACGTAAATACCGACCCAAAAGTAACAGTTGCCAGCACGGTATATATTGCAAACTACGACAAATCCTATAATTTTCTGGCGCTAAAATATCGACTTTACATTTACTGCTTAACAACTTTAAACAGTTTTTTCCCAATGTCTCAACATTTGACTTGTGTGGATTTGTCGGGTTTTGAAACTAGGCGACTCAATTTCTGTAAAAGGCCAAATACATGGAACTACCAATTTACTTTGCAATTGATACAATAGTTCTCAAGATATTGTCGTTTAAAATAAATGCATTTTTTGGCATAAATCGGAATAAACTACCCAAGATGTCGGTGTTTCTTCACAGGCGTTTGTCAAACTCTAAAGCAACTTTTGTCTCAACTGACCGAATTCATATCTCTCGTAGTTTCTCAGGTGCCAATGTTGATCATTGAAATTGTCACCGCCCAATATAGCCATTTACATAAAATAATGATATATACTTATCTATTATTAATACGTTTTAGTATACGTGCAGAAGTCCCTGTGCTTTGCCAAAAGTTGGCTGTACACAAGACGAAAAACATATGTGTACATTTTTGTGTTATTCGCCCTGTGAAGAATGCATTGTTCCTGTAAGGAGAGAGCGCTCATGTGGACACGTATTCTTAAAAATACCTTGTAACACGATTGTAGAAGATATTTTTTGTGAAAAAAAATGTAAGAAAATGCTGGCTTGTGGTCATCCTTGTAAAAGCGAATGCAGTGCTCCCTGTGGTCCATGTTTAGTTGAGGTAATTATTCCAGTATAGTAGGTTCCATTCCAGTATTAATTCCACGTACAGCATGTTTATGGATGGAGGACAAATGAGCTAAAAAGTGAAAGATATCGAAAAAGTAACTCATAAAAGATTGCTTGCTTTTAAAATAAGATTTGTAATACCAAGATTTTTTATTGAGTACGCAAAAACACATAAATATTTATTAATATTTATGTGTTTTTGCTAATGAGAAGGATATTATTTTCCGCACTTTCCACTTTCCAAGCAACAAAAACTTAAAAAATGCAAAACAAATCCAGTTTTTTACCCTCAACTACTATCGTAGAATATAGAACATACCTAGTCCAGCCGTTAACGGGTTCACAAATGAGATTGCTTTGGTGTCAGCCTTTTTGCGCGACTCCCTGGTTGTATTAACTTCAAGGCTTGTTATAACCTGTGTTATAGACTTGGTGCATTTCAGTTGATTTCAAAAAATTCCGACCGCGGCGCTGTATACGACAGAAATCAGAAATTTTCGCTATGTAGTTCACGCCGGCGCCGTCCAGGTTACAGTTCATGTTGATCGCATTAAAATAATATTGAAATCGTGGCTTTGTCTTATATTTAATATTTAAGTATTTTAGTTATTTGCTAATGCAGTTACTGATACTATAAGGGCTCGAACTCACTGACGACCAGGTCGCAACGACCTGGCCGTCGGCTGGCCGGATGTATTGCGTTTTTAGCTGCGACCAGATGAACGACCAGTTTCAACAGAGTTGTCAAATCTAACGATTTTTTACATTTTACCAATTAGAAAATATTGTTTCAGAAATGTTAAAATATCTGAGTTAACTAAAAAGCGAAGTTGCTATTCACAACAAACAAAAAGCATTGTGTACGCGCGACCGACAAAAAGGGAGATATTCTGTTTCTTTTTTCTACTGATATGGCGCCCTTATCGACTTTAGAAGTAAACATATTAGGGCCATCGTAAAAAAAGATCGTTAGACACTGGCTCTAAATATAAGCAGGTAGAAAGTTTAGCTTCCAATTATTTCAATGTTTACAATATAACGAAGAATCTACAACTGTAATTACTTCTATTTTTATGAATGTTTAAGTTACTTTCTTAATTTTTTTTTTCAAAATAATGTACCTAGTAGAAATATAGTCTAATGAACTCTGTTTGAAAAATGTTAAATTAAATATAACATTTAAAATACAGTTGTCCTCCTTGTACAAGACTACAATACAACTAAAAAACTAATTTAATAAAAAAAACAAGTGATTGTAGAAAAACTTTAAATATTATTTTTTTTATTTTTTAACATCGAAACTCAAAGGTATAATAACAGATATCATACCAACCATAAATAGAGTAGGTATGTCATATAAAAATGTTTTGAGTTTTTACTAGAATCGACCCTTGATAAAAAAAGGGATTATATTTAAGTTTACTTTTGATCCAGTCTGTATACTATTTCTTTGGATTTTCTGCACGTGTGCAAAAACTACACTAAAACACTATATCTTATAGAAAATAAAACATTGTGTCTTGAATTTGAGGGATTTCATCTGAAAAATTATTAATTTGGAAGAAAGCCGGCAACAAGCGGCAGAAAATAATAATATTTCCGTGCAATCTTCTGGTCGCAACGACCAACGGACGGCCAGGACGTTAGTGTGCGCTATATCATTTGATTTAATGGTTCTCGAGGTAGCTGCGGCCTGGCCGGTGCGACCGGTGCGACATTAGTGTGTTCGAGTCCTAAAACACTCAGGTACGAGGTTTGTGTGACGTAAAGCTGTTTCGGGTAGTAAAAAATAAGTGTTGTGATAATATCAATTATTAATAAAATTGCCGAAAAAATGTTAACACGTAAAGGAGAGCATAATTAAGGCGTAACTGGGTGCAATAACTCAACTGGGTTCAATAACTCAACTTTTCCGGATATTCAACTCTCCCAAAACAACATTTTATAGCTTCATAGTTTCTCACACCAATTTGATCAAAATAAAAAATGGATTCAAGTAGTTCGCCGAAACAAGTGAGTCAACAAAGTGCTCATTACATAATCTAATAATTAAATAATAAATAAATATACTATGAGAGGATAAAATATAATTTGCAATTTTAATAATATACATACTTTTTTTAATCGATTAAATGTTTTATGAACATCTTCTAACATAATTTCCTTTATAGGGCAGTACTAATTATTTTCTAAATTGACAAATTGAAATATATAAACTAGCGCAAAGCATATCTTCTTAATAACACTTTTCTAAAAGTTAACAAATAAGGGAGGTTTTTTGTGGGGGTTGAGGGTCGATTTTTCAACCAAAGACTCTTAAAGCAAATGGATAATATGTAATGATCTAATGTACATATACAGGGTTGTTCACCACATACGACACGGAGTATTGTAGCTAAACGATTAGATTTTTACAGATTGTAAGTTTTGGGTTCGTTGAAGGACTATTAGAGCTATAATTTAAAAATATTTTTACAAGACACAGAGTGTCCCAAATAAATAAAAAATATCAAAGTTGTATTTTTTTAAATAGGTAAATTTGATAAAGGTTACACTTATTACACTTAAACGTTACCGTTTTTGAAATATTTTCAATTTTGTGAAACTGCAGTCAAAATTTTAAGGCTTCATTTCTCCAAGGGTATCAAAGTTTTTAATACTAAATATTTACTGAAGTCTATTTATTGATCACATCAGATATTTTGTTGCAATAATAAAAATAATACTACCTCATACAGAGTGTCTAAAAATTTATTTTAAATTATTTCTAGCTTTAAACGGCAATAACTTGTTTAATTTAAATTGAACGCCCTGTATATTTTAGGAGAGTCAGATGCAGAATTTAATTGTCTACCAAATTGTATTATACCATTTTTTAGCTATCTCTTCAAGTTTCCGTAGAAAATGCATTTTCTTGTAATTTAGAACTCATTTTTCAATATACCCATGGAATACTGACATTTTAGATTATTTTTTAAGATGTACCAAATTTTTAAAGAGTAGAGGTATTAATAGTGTCGATATAGTTTATTTCATTAAAAAATAAAAAAAAACTGTTTAAATATTTGTTAAAGAGGACCAATTAATATGATTCCAGTATTCAAACTACATTAAATTGACTGTTTGCGTTGATTAATAATAATTGCTCCAAATACTAAAAAACTGAATTTTGTATGTGTATTAGACAGTGGGGTAAAAACTAACACCTTAAAAATTATATTTCATTTTTTGACAAATGCTTTATAACAACAGAGACATTCATTTTCATAACTTATTATTATATTGACTTCTGATTCAAATCCACATTTATTTAGAATAATTTATTAACGAACATAATTAAGTATGTAATTAATTAGTATTCGGGCGGAAATAATGGTGGTATATTTAATTAATGGTATACTATTTTATAAATATTTAAATAATTTTCTTTGTGTATACAAATGGGATAGTAATATTATCATTTTGCTAAAAACGATAATATTACTAGCCTGTACATTTTGTAAATTTGTTGCTTTAAAAACAATCTAAAATGTCAATATTCCATGGGTATATTGATAAATGAGATCTAAATTATAAGAAAATGAATTTTCTACGAAACCTTGAAGGGATAAATAAAAAGTGGTATAGTAAACGCCACGAATGTTTGGGAGTGATTCATTGCTTGATGAAGTTAGAATCGACACGCGCGCTATCATTTTTACATTAAAAACGTAAATTTTTACCGCAGACGTAGGTTTTTAAGGCCCGGTCTAATCATCTGCCTGCGCTCCTCCTACTTATTCTAAAATGTTAGCGTGATTGACAAAGACGATACTATATCGCGTTTCTTTGAATGATTCGTTTTTGTGCGTCAGTCCATTGGTGTGCTTGCAGTGCGACCAATGGGGCCATTCCATTTTATATTTATAACCAAATATATGTTTTAACAAGACTTTGACAGTTAAAACAACAAATTACAACAGATTATATATTGATTATCATATGACTTCAAACACCACGGCACTGGAATTAAGTTTTATGTGACCTTGAACAGATTAGTTCACATGGTAGCGACCGATGAATCACTCCCAAACATTCGTGGCGTTTACTATTTAATACAATTTGATAGACAATTAAATTGTGCATCTGATTCTCCTAAAATATACAGGGTGTTCCATTTAAATTAAACAAGTTTAAAGCTAGAAATAATTTAAAATAAATGTTTAGACACTCTGTATGAGGTAGTATTATTTTTATTATTGCAACAAAATATCTGATCAATAAATAGACTTCGGTAAATATTTAGTATAAAAAACTTTGACACCCTTGGAGAAATGAAGCCTTAAAATTTTGACTGCAATTTCACAAAATTGAAAATATTTCAAAAACGGTAAGGTTTAAGTGTAATAAACCTTAATCAAATTTACCTTTTTTTAATCGTAGAAACTAAAAATGTAATAATATACAGGGTGATCCATTTAAAAAAATACAACTTTGATATTTTTTATTTATATGGGACACTCTGTATTTTGTAAAAATATTATTAAATTGTAGCTCTAATAGTCCTTCAACGAATCCAAAACTTACAATTTGTAAAAATCTAATCATTTAGCTACAATACTCCGTGTCGTATGTGGTGAACAACCCTGTATAATATATAAACTGTATGTATCATCCAATGTAAGAAAAAGAAGTAAGTTCATTTTGATTATCTTTGTAGCTCTTTACTCAAAAATATGCCCATATCAAGTAAATCAAATTTTATTTTTCGAGAAACTCCCATCCTATGAGAAATGATCTAAAATATCCAGAATTTATTAACGATTTTAGAAAATATCATCCGAGCCTTAAATTTGGTGCACTAAATAAAAAGAAATAAACGTCACATATACATTTGTTTCTATATTTTTGAATTGTTATCACACGAAATTTGCATAGAACATGCTTATACGACAATTTATTACCGATATGATAAAGGGCGAACTCAGTGATACCAATGCTCACTGGTCGAATATTCAACCGCTTACGTTAACTTTTCGCGCCAATTGAGCCAACGTATAGATATGGTTGATTAAATGGCCAAGGCGCGCATAGCAATGGCAGCTCGTGGCCTCTGGAACTGGGTAGGCGACAAAATTTTAATTACGTCTATTTGTTCTCCAAAATTTACATAATATCCTAACCCAGTTCGTAAAAATTGGGTAAAACTTGGATTTTTTTATTTTTTTCAAATATCTCCGTTTGCATAACTTTTTTCGAAAAAACTAAAGATATGTTTTTTGTAGAGAATTAAATTTAGAATACTCTACCTTTAATCATTTTTTTTTTCTAAAATAAATAGTAATAGAGATAGAGTATAAAGATATAAAGTTAGGGGTATCTATTTCTAAGAATCAGAGAAATATTAGATTTTTTATCTTTATATCGAAGCGGTCTTTGATTTTGTGTTGATCTATGTGCCTAATTATTTTTTATCACAATTTAATATTCAATATTATTATTTATCTGCATAATTAAAGACTTTTGGAAAGGTAAATTAACATTCAACCTTAGTATTAGTAATTACAATTGAAATCGATACAATAAACAAAAATCAAGACTAAAAAACGTATTTTTTGTGTAGCGAATATAGTTTTCTAAAAAAAAATCATAAGTATGTTCAAACTGAGCATCTCCTTGTTGAATACACAATAAACATCTTTTGCGCACAGAGTTACAAAGATTTGTTAGGCGAACTAGTGTAATAAGTCCAAAAGTTTGCCTAGTAATCTTCTGCAATTCTTCTCTCGTCCCAGTGGTTCTTCCTTTATAGATAAGGTCTTTTAATTTCCCCCATAAAAAATTTGAAAGGAATTAAATTACAGAACCTAGCAGGTCTAGATATGGGGGCCAAGATATGAGGCCCTTCGTTCCAATCCAATTCTCTCTAAATTCTCCATTTAATAGTGCAGTTGTAACGTTGTAACCCGTTGTTTTTAATTGTAAATGGTATTACTAATATAGAATGTTGATTTACCTTTTCAAAAGCCTTTAATGCAGATAAATAATAATATAGAATATTAAATTGTGATAAAAAAATAATTAGGCAACTATATGTCAACACAAAATCAAGGCCCACAAAGATAAATAACGTAATATTTCTCTCATTTTTAGAAATAAATACACATAATTTTATATCGTTGGAAAGGGTTAAATGCCAGCATTTTTTTAAGTTTATAGCCAACTATGATTTCTATTTAAAAAAATATATTTTTTATTATTTCTGACAAAAAAAGCATGTATAGAACAAAAACTGACTACTCCACTGAATTGTGCTTAAAAAAGTGCCTTAAGAACGTTTTTACAGAATTTTATTATTCCGCGAAATACAAAAGCTATGGGCAATTTTCCAAATGTGAAAAAAATAAAAAAGACCCCGTATCTCAGTTGGCTCTCAGGCAAATTATCAACAGGGGGTTTGCGCCATTAAACGAGTCTCAGAAATCGAGCCCATGACATCTATGTCGGTTTTGCTCTATCTAGTCAGGAAATAGGTTTTCTCTGTTAAAACAGATCAATTTCGACCACCCTGTATACTAATAGGAACACCAAATGCACTGTACACAATAATTCAAGTCAATAATAGGCAGTCGACAAACATATTTTAATTAAAGTTTTAAATACTAATAACGTATAATGAATAATATGGAAACCAGCCCATTTTTTAAAACCTATCGAGCTCCACGCGCATGCAGACTACAGATTATGCAGAGGCGACCGAAGATATCGCCTAAACCCCGCCTTAATTCGAGGTAGTCATCGATTTCCGTCGCTACCGCGCGATGAGTTAGAGAGAGACAAAAGACACACATCGACGGCTGAGTGGGAGATCAAAATTTAATTTGAAAGGCGATGCTAGAAATCGCCGAACAAAGACGGCAGGCATTTTACTCTAACGGTCAAAATTATTTTGATTTCTAACGCTGCATACGCCAGCAGTAGTTAATATATTAATATAAAAGACTACAAATATTAGATTAATATTAATTGTTACAACTCATTTTCGTGTATTAATAGTAATTTTATATGTATTGGCAACATTAATAGAGTAAATAAATATTATAATGTTAAAAAAATCTGACAAAATTGTAGGGTAGGCGCTGCCTACCTTGCCTACCCTGACGAGCCGCCACTGGCTCAACCTATAAGGGATTATGTACATTTAAAAAATTTCGCCATAGCCGAAATAGTCCCAATTATGACCCCACTAGCAAAACCGGTGATTAAAACTACGCTCGCTACCATAGCACTGTGGTCAATTTTTAAAAATTAACAGGAAAATATTAAAAAATCTGATGTGGCTAAGCGGCGTCAAAAACTCCATAAGTAGGCTTTGAAATAATTGCTAAGAACATTTCATTCATAGATAAATGCAACAAGTTTAGATTGGAAAGCCCGTAAAAATTTTAGGTCGCGAAATTATTTTGGGTCGCGACCGTTATACGCGATCTGGCGCTGCTATAGCGGTCGCTAAGAACAACAGCAAACAAAAACTGAAATAATTTTCTCTTGTCAAAGTCAGAATCTTCAAAAATCATAATAATCTTTCAAAATCTAAACCGCTCTCATTAAAGAAATTCCGAAAAGTGTTTATAGCATCCATTTTCAAAGTAATTACTGCTATGTTGTGAGTTTAATTCAAGTTTTATTTACTCCAACCGGTGATAATTGTGAAAAAGTGGCATTCAAAACTTAAAAAGCTGTGCTGTGAACTGCAAAAACCATCGTGGATCGTGGCATAACATCGGTTTCCAATGTTTCATAGGTATTTCATACATGCGTCCTTATAGAAAATAAAGTTTCTTGTATGCAACACACTGTATTTTATTTATAAAATTAAACAAAAATAATATTAAATTTGAATAAACAATATTTGGCGATATAATTCCGGAAAAAGCCGAACCGCTCCGAAATTTTCAAAAGTTTTGGGTCGCGACCGTTGCAAGAATAGCGCCAAATAGTGTTTACATTGTCCTTATGGGCACTTTCCAATCTAAACTTGTTTCATTTATCTATGATTTCATTAACAAATATGTCAAAGGTCGTTGCGAATTTACTGTTATTTTGATTGAAAATGTAGTATAGTTGACAAACTAAACTAAATAATCTTGTTATTTGCACATGAATAAAGTTTTTAATTTGGGTATTCCGTGCAAAAAGTTATATGTCATTAATACTACCTAAAATGGAAAGAGCAATTGTTGGTGGTAAGTTTTTTGACATTAATGTTCTTCTGTTGAGTATTAAATATGAGTAAATAATTTTGATATGGTTAGATTTTTTTTTAAATTATTAGAATATACATTTTTTAATGAAGTAGCAGAAACAAGTCTTATGAGGTTTCAGTTTTAAATAAAGTTAAGTTGATAGTTAAACCATTAGACAACTTTACCAAACCTACAAATTTACCGTCCTAGTCCGTCTGTTAAGTCCAGGCCATTTTTTAGGACGTATTGCCCAGATTAAACGCTTGGAGGTGATTGACTTTTTAAAAGCAACTGTTAGCAGAATCTGTAAGATCCATAGTATTATTCTTAGAATATGATAATTTTTAAATATCTAACATATGCAAATGATCGCGACCAAAATCTATTTAAAATAAAAAATAACGAAACTTTTCCAAGTTTTTAATTATTATACACCCTGTATACGACCTGTTTTTATTAATTATATTATTAATGTAATTTTATGATACCTAACATATAAAATCGGATATAGTTATTAATCAAAGTTAAGTAATTTTCACTAATATTTTTTTCCGGCTAATTTGACAAAATTGACCACAGTGCGTAGTTGAACTCATCTAAAGAGTTTTTTTAGCTGGAATAATAAATTTTATAATACAAGTTAGACCTTCTGAACATATCAAAATATTTACTTTTTTATTTATAGAGTTTTCACAAATTATACTTCTTAACACATTTAAAATCATTATATAATAAATTTTTCGTATACACGCTATTTAATTAGTTGTTTATGATATTCTTCGATGGTGGCAGCACCGGCGGACAATGCACCAAACCTATAGCTTTACGGTACAGTATCCCATATCATATTAAGGTAATCGCTTTGATTGGTCCAAAGAGGCGTTCAATTACGGTATTTCGCGAAGTGACGGTACGGATTACGATACGGTAGGCTTTTACTTTTCATGATCATAATTGACAAGCACACAAAACAGATCAGATATGAGAAGATATTCAAAGCAATCATTTTTAATAAAAGAATTGGCGGGATTAGGTTGAAGTCTAGCTATAGCTCTGGTAATCAAAACTCACGCTGTAAGCGTCTATGACCTCAAAATAGGGTGTATATACAAATCTTTTTGAAAAACGGACGATTTACAGTTTTTCCAATAATTTCCAAAAAATGTTTTCAGGGAACGTTCTTGTTTGTGCTTATGCAAGCTCATTTGTGCTTTACATGCTGTAAGGAATGCTCCCTTATTACGAATGGGAACCTCCTTTCCATTACAATTACTACATATGACATTAAACTCTTTGCATGGTAAATATGTTTGTGCAAACTGAGATTGAGAGAAATGCATATTGTAATTTTGGTTTACCGTATATTAACAATTAACTTTGAAGAATAAAGACAAATCGAAAGATTTTATTTTATAAAAAATGTCTATTCTTAAAAAATAAATCATCTTCTGATTTCCTTCGCACTTATTTATTTACAGTTTGTATAATTTAGGTTGAGAAAGAAATTCCAGTATGCGGACATAGAGTTACATTGAAATGTTCAGAAGAACCTTTGCAAAAACACTGTCAGAACCGTATATGTCCAAGATTGTTACCGTGTGGTCATAAATGCAAAAATGTTTGTAGATCTTCCTGTACAGAGGAATGCACGGAAATAATAGAGTGTAACATTCAGTCTCCTTGTGGACATGAGATGAAGACAACTCTGTGCTATTTGACAGACAAGTGTAAGGATATTTATTTATTTTACTTATTCCAGTTGGGGTTTGGAACTTATACTGATTTTTTATACTATCCTGAATACTTCCTCTGCGTGGTCTGTATTGACATTTTCAATTGGAACTTATGTGTTAGAGAGAGACAGAATAGTTTTTTTGTAAGATCTCACTAGAAAATCTTCAATATGAGTTTTTCGAATAAGTGCGAGTTTTGGAATCTTAAAAGCCGTAAATATCCTTAATAAAAAATTCGATGACCGTATTTAAAAAAGATGATAATGGCAGCTCAAAGATAATAAGCTGGTTTGAAAATCTGAATAGAAAATAAAAATGAAATTGCGAATATTAGTAAAAATCTGCGGAAACGTTCGGAATTTTTAAGGTGCTGTTTTGATCACTATCACATTGCGCAATTTTGCCTTCATTTAATCGACCTCATATCACTTAGTTTTCGAGATAAACGCCCTAAAACAGAGGCTCATATTTTGAAATCCTCTACAAATATATATATATGCTTTTCAGATTCGCCATCCGACCTTCTTTCAGTATGTCCATCTCCATGCGAAATTAAACTGAAGTGTGGTCATCAGTGTACAGGGACTTGTGGGACGTGTAAGCAGTTTCGCATTCATAAGAGGTGTGCTGAAAGGTGCGGTGTTCCTTTAGTATGCGATCATGAATGTCCAATACCATGCCGACAGGCCTGTAAACCTTGCACTAGACCATGCGAATTAAAATGTTTGCATAATAGATGTAATAGAGAGTGTGGTGAACCTTGTGTTCCATGTAAAGAGATATGCCCAAGACAATGCCCACATGTGAGGTGCAACAAGAAGTGTGGAGATATTTGTAATGTAGACCCCTGCATAGAAAGGTATTTGAAGTTTCCTTAGATTAAATATGCATAATATACAGTAAAACCCCGGTTATCCGAGGTAACGGGGGGGACACCCTCCTCGGATAATCCGGATTTATTAAAAAATAAGCACCAATACATACTTCAAACGGTTTATTAACATTTTTAACATGTAAATACATATAAGTACCTACATATGTAGATACTATCCACATTATAAAACAGTGAAATAAGTATCTATGCGCTGCTGTTTCATATTGCATCTTCCTTTTCTCGCTCCCATGTTTCTCCACCAGTTAAGAAGAAGCAAATCCGCTGGGGTTGCCTCTGATGTTCGATATACCTCAGAGCTGTTTCCAGAGAAGCAAAACCTTCTTGATGGGTAATCTTAGTGGAAGGCTGTTCATCCACCTCTTCGTCATAGTTATCGCCATCTGATTTTTCGGTTTCCCGAAAGGCGTTTGCTATTTCTTCAATATTCATTCTTTTTCAATATTTCTTCTTCTAAATCATCTGCTGTAACCCATTCATCAACGTCTTGTCTTGTCACATTTTTGCAACCTTTAAGTTTTGCATTAATTCTAATAAACTTTCTTCTTCATCTGTCTCGTTTAAATCTGTACAGGACATTTCCATCCAGAACTGCCGGTATATCTGTCTATGGAAATTGTTTACTAATCGTTATTGTTTTTTGCTGCAATATGGGACCTGACAGAGGCACACCTTTTACGTTTGTTTCGTTCCATTATAATACGGCAAATGAAAATTTAAACAAAGCAGTTGGTATACACTTAACTAGAACTCCACCCAGATAAATCATGCGAGTACATACGTATACTACTTCTCCGTAGTGAACGCAATAACGAACTGCATTCACTCAAATTTACATGCTAAAAGAGTCCAAAAACATAAATAAGGAGAACCGCTCACACGGGCTAAGTGGATTCCCCGTCGGTCCCAACGATTTTAAAGGGAAATATGTAAATATACATATAGTATATTTTAGAAGCTCGGTTAATACGGAGCATAGACGCGCGACCTCGGATAATCAGGGTCTTTAGATTGGATCGGTTAATCCGGAGCTCGGATAATTGCGACTCGGATAATTGGGGTTCTACTGTAAAGCAAATATCTGGTTTAAATCAACCGCAACATATACCGGGTGGGTCTCGAAAGTGGCTCACCCTTATAACTTTTTTATTTTTTCAGATAAAAATACGAGGTTTGGTATGTTAGTATATGACATAAATTAGGATTGATTGACGTATTCAATTCTTTTCGGCCACTTCCTGTTCCACCGGAAATGACTACAACTTTTGGTTTTTAAATAGCAACCTCGGTATTTTTTTACTTTATTCGATAGAAAATGACACTCTGAATAGAATGACATAACATTTGTCAACTTTTGACATTTTCCCTTAAAACAAAATTGAGTTTTAAATTTCAATCTAGAGTGCCAAGGCTGTGTTAAAACCACTAATTTTTAATCAAGGAGCCTTGGAAAAATAGATTTGATGGTCTAATATGTTTTTAGTGTCTTTTACTGGTCGGTTAAAAAATGGCCAAATCGTATTTTTAATCATATTTCAAGTGGAACGAGGGTGGCTCATTAGCATATTTGGTACCACTTGGTATTTCGAGTCAAAGTGTCGTTATGAAGAGTGTCATTTTCTATCGAATAAAGTAACAAAATTCCGAGGGTGCCATTTAAAAATCAAAAGTTGTAATCATTTCCGGTGAAACAGGACGTGACCGAAAACAATTGAATACGTCAATTAATCCTAATTTATGTCATAATATATTAATATACCAAATCTCAATTTTTTATCTGAAGAAAATAAAAAAGTTATTATAGGGGTGAGCCACTTTTGAGACGCACCCGCTATATAAATATCATTTAGTTATTGCATTAAACCGATAATAATATAACATAAATTTTATTCTTAAAGCATATACAGGGTGTTTCAAAAAACATGTGCCATCTCTCGTGGGGAGATTCCTCACGTAAAAATAAGATTTATTTTTCATATCAACATAGGTCCTATTCTGCTTTGTTTCGTAACTGCAGGGTGTTAAAGTGTTAATAATTTTTCGATTTATTATAATTTTCTTCCAAGTACTTTTAGTGATTCGAACGAAATTTTGAGGGTAAAAATTAGTATAAGTGCTACATATTTTAATGCTAAAAAAGTGTCGATAAATTCATCGGGGACGTGCATATGGGTTATCACTGGAATATAAAAAAAAAGATGTGCGCCACTGACTTTTTTCTTTTGATATCAAAATTGTGTAGGCCGTTTAATGTTAGTTAAAAGTTATCTTTTGATATTTTGTCGAATTCGGCCTCCTTGATGACATTAACGCAATTTTATTAACCACAATTAATAAAAATAAAATTAATATATTATAATATATTTTACCTAATTTATTATTAAATATTATTACTATTAAAAAAAATAAAAATAATGGTATTTAAGATAATTACAAAAAAAACAAATTTAACACATTGAAAAATAACTTTCAACTCATTTCGCTCTTAAGAATAAACCAATACATGTAATGACATAATCCAAAAAACAAATGCTCAGAAGATATGGTTCTGACCGTAAAATTATATTTTATGAAAATTTACACACGAAATTATTGCACAGAGTATTTTAAAATTAGGGTAAAAAAACAACCCCTCGATTAACCCTGTATAATATGTCAAATACTAAAGTTTATAAAAAACTGAGTTTACGAATAAAAGGTGATATAATTATATTCAGCTTGCTAAAAAATTCATGAAAATAGGACTATCCAAATAATAAAGAGCATATTTTAAAAATTACGTTAGGTTGCTATATTAGACACATATTACCACAGATTATACAGATTATAAATTTTGTTTTTTCTTTATTGTTTTTCGTGGTTCCAATTTTCGGAATCGAGCACTGGTTAGGTTACTAGTTTGCGCACATAGCACGCCCACTTAAGGCCTTTAAAATTGTGCACAGCGCCTGACCGGCACACTTATTAGAGAGGTCTCGGAAAACCGAATAGCGTGCACAGCGCCTGACCGGCACAGTTATTAGAGCGATATCGGAAAACCGAATAGCGCCATCCTGTATTTACGCGTACCTTATCATGGTTACGTTATGCGCGAGTGAATTTTTAACGCAAAGCCCGCTAATAACGTTACAGCCTGACGTAATTTGCGAATCAATTACACCAAGCGCTATTTCTAAATAACGTTTAAAAATTGCTTAAATGGGCATGTGCGGGTATTTGACAACCGGTGCCGGCCGGCGAGATCTTTTATTTTAGGTTATGTTTGAATTGTTTTGAATTATTACTTTAGTTTTATTAGGTAATTTGATATTTAAGTAGCTGGGATTAGTTTTAATTAAATAAATATGGCCCAAAATATGGATCCCACCTCTTCCAATACTAAAGAACCTATAAAGAGTCTTAGGTTTACAGCAGATGACGACTTAGCCCTTCTAAGAGAATTTGTTGCTTGTTGCCCTAAACCCACTGGCAGGCGTTGAACAATAAAGCACTGGAAATAAGCACTTTAGCCCTTTAGTTTTAAAATAGCTAGTAAACAAAACAATTTCAAAGTTTTAAATTCAAAGCTAGGTTAAGTTTAAATAGCGGACGCGACGCGATCAAAATTCTTTCCGATCCGATAACTATAAATGAAGAGAGTTAATACCACCTCACGTAAAGGAAATAACACCTGGCCTTATTAACGTCCATGCACGCTATTCGGTTTAGCGATATCTCTCTATCACGCTGTTTATTGTTATTTTACCCGAGTTTATTTTTGCGCACAAGAAATTATACTTGTTTGCACATCGTCATAAAAAACAATTTTCGTACCACGAATTAGGGATAAGATTTTTATCTGTATACATATAGTATCCTTAATCTGTGCTAGTACTAAGGTATCTTGAGATAAATTTTCCAAATATACTGTTGCGGACCCGTGTGAACCCGGTCTAAGCTGACTAATACGCCTGACGCCGTTCAAGGACGAATGGAAAAATCTCGGCGGCTAAGAATTTTCGAGTCAAATCTGGATTGTCTGTTTCTCTCATATATAAGCAGACGCCTGGAGCCTGAAGAGGACAGAGAACAAACAGACGTTCGACGTATACAGCTATCGCGCGCTAAATTCAAAATAAATTCCTTTTAGATAAATAGTTACATATATTGTAAATAAGTTATAAATAGTTCTTTAAGTAGTTTTATCGTTATTGTTCTGCTACTTAGTGTTAAATAAATTGTGTTTAAATAAATTCGACTTTCTATCCACACGGAACCGACGAAAAAAACGTAACAATACAATAATATAAAAATCATCCACGTTTTTGAACAAGTTCAGAAAATAAATATTATCTAAATTGTGGTCTTTAAGTAATTTGTAATTCAGTTTTTATCAAGTTACAGTTTCTATAATTTAAAATGAAATCGTCGATTAAGGATTTATAAAAACTATAGAAATATCTAATTTAGTTTAATTATTATATTTAATATCTAATTTTTCTTTATAACAATTTTGGAATAATTTAGGTAGATCTTTAAAATATATTACGAAAGATTTGTGGCACATCCATTATTTTTCAAAGAGACCTGATTTTTAAATTTTAAAGAAAGATTGAAAGTCTCTGTCGCATACATTTTTATTAAAAACGAGTATCATCAGACAAAAATAAAATTAATATCACAGCACACATACGTTTATATATTACATATTAAAACAATAGGTACTTTTTTTTTGTTTTTAAATCAATTAATGTCTTATTACAATGTACACAGTAACAGTAAATAATAAGTAAAATAAGTATTTTACAAACAAATTGTTTGTGCCGCGTTTTGAGTATTAAGTAAGAATCCTTTCAAAATTAATCTATGATTATCTGAGTTTAAAACAGAAAATTACATGTATCCAAATAAGTATAACAAAATTTCAAAAATTAATTCCGTTGGTCTTTTTAATCCACTTCTAAATAATTGTTAATATTTACTAAGTT